GGACATTCTGCTGAAAAATCAAAGTACATCCTCCAATATCAATAAATCAGCATTGATACAGTACTATGATCTGATCCACAGACTCCATTTGAGTATTCCTGATTATTCCAACAACATCCTTTATAATCATCCTTTCTTTCCCAGTCCAGAATCCAATCCAGGGTATTTAGTTTCATGTTTCTATATCCACCTTGATGTTCCTAAGTTTTTCCTTGTCTTTTGTTACTTAACATTTTTGAAGAGTACAGACTTACTTTGTTGAATGACCTTCAGTTTGTGGTTGGCTGATACATCCTTAAGATTGCATTCAGGTTATGCATTCTTGTCAGGAATAACACAGAAGGGACACTGTGTTCTCAGCAGATCACATTGAGGGCATACTATGTCGATTAGTCCCATGGCTCATGATGTTGACTTATCATTTGGTTAAGATGATTCATTATTATTTTGTTAATAATTAATAAGTAACTAAAAAGACTTTGAGTGATTAATTTTAAATTAATTTAAAAGTATTGGAATCTATGCAAATACCCTGTTCCTCATCATATTTTCACCCACTAGTTTTAGTCTCCATTGATGACTCTTCTGACGTAATTATTACTGTGATAGCTGCCAAGTGCTCATTTTCTAACTTCTTAATTGCTGCCACATGTATTATTAATTGGTGTTCTGTTGCAAGATAGAATTTTTCCTTCTCCCAAGATTTATAGATGAGGCCCCAGTTAGGCCAGCAGTTTGGGTAAATTAGTGGTGAAGACTGTCTCTGGGTCTCATGGGTGTTCAGCAACTTGTTTATGAAGGTAACTAAGCTCTTTTTTGTCCCTAATTGGAGGTGTCATTTTCATTTCACATTAGAACTTTCTGGGGATTGACCCACCTGTGGGAATTTAGGTTATGCATTTAGAGGTCAGAGAAAGTCAGAGAAGACACATTGCAGAATGAGAGCTATTCAGAGACATGGCTTTTCTTTCAGTGAGTTTATCAGCGTCCATCAGGACCTAGTAATAGGGCAACAGTAATCACTTAGCAGTGACAAATAGCTCTGTAGTCCCAATGGCTTGAGATAAAAGAGTTTGGGTAAATACTTATTGCCAAAGTTTCCAACCAGCTGTGAGATTGGCCACAAACCTCTGTAATTTTACCGAGTTTGGAGGAGAGTAGCAGTTCCAGGGAAGAGTTTGACTTACCAACACATGGATTACTTCCAAACTTTTTTGTTCTAGTGATTCTTATTCAAATATGATGACTTATTTGGTGGTTTGGGACTATATTGGGACTATAACAGATGTTTATTGTCAATATCTAAAGAGGGCAATCAGGTATTAAGTATCTCTTTTTTTTGTAGTTGGTAGCTACAGGGACAGCAGTGCATCTTTCATGGGCCATAAAATGTCTCTTTGCTCTAAGACCTATATGACCCCCAAGATGATCATTTTGGTGGAGGCTTGGATTTTCTATTCATTCAAGATCCATTTGTACTTAGGTGGCATATGCAGAGTAATGTAAGAAGTTTTCTTAATGGGGGCACCTGGGTGGCTCAGTAAGCATCTGCCTTCGGCTCAGGTCATGATCCCAGGGTCCTGGGATCAAGTCCCGCATCGGGCTCCTTGCTCAGTGGGGAACCTGCTTCTCCCTCTACCCCTCCTCCCTGCTCATACTCTCTCTCTCTCTCTCTCTCAAATAAATAAAATCTTTAAAAAAAGGTTTTCTTAATGGATGCCATATTTTTAAAAAGTTTTTAAAATAGATATCACAGGGCACCTGGGTGGCTCAGTTGGTTAAGCGACTGCCTTCAGCTCAGGTCATGATCCCAGGGTCCTGGGATCGAGTCCCACATCGGGCTCCCTGCTCCACGGGAAGCCAGCTTCTCCCTCTCCCACTCCCCCTGCTTGTGTTCTCTCTCTCGCTTTGTCTCTCTCTGTCAAATAAATAAATAAAATCTTAAAAAAAAAATAGATATCACAGCAGGTCCTCAGTGGCTCAGTCAGTTGAGCAGCTGAGCAACTGAATCTTGGTTTTGGCTCAGGTCGTGGTGTCTGATTGGTAAAATGGTGCCACAAGTCAAGCTCCATGCTCAGCGGGGAGTATGCTTCCCCTCTCTCTCTGCTCCTCCCCCTATGTGCACATGCTCTCTCTCTCCTGCTCTTTCAAAATAAATAAATAAATCTTTAAAAAATTTTAAAATAGATACCACATTAAGAAATTATTGTTGAATTTGTTGAGGCATGATGATGGTTATAGTATATGTTTTTTAAAAATGCTCTTATTGTTTATTGAGGCACACTGAATTATCAAAGAAGAAATCACAAGGGAAATTAGAATATTTCAAACTGAATAATAATGAAAATACAACACATCTAAGTGGGTGGGATGAATGCAGTGATATGATGTCTTAGATTTGCTTTAAAATAAAATGGGAGTGAAGGAGGAAGAAAAAGGAGGAGGAGGGAGAGGAGGAGGAGAAGGAGGAGAAGATGATATAGCAAAAACCAGACTGGCTACAAGATGATAATTATTAAAATTGATTAATGCATGTCATAATAGTACTACAGATATTAAGGTGAAATAAAGATATTTTCAGATAACAGGAAACTGATAAAATTTGTTGTCAGAAGATGTGCAGTAAAGAAATGCTAAAAGACATTCTTCAGGCTAAGGAAATTGATACCAGATGGAAACTTGGATTTACAAGGAAATGGTAATGTGTGGAAAAACAAAATTTTAAAGTTATTTTAAAGATATATGACTGTTTAAAGCAAAACCATTGTATTATGGGGCTTATAAGTAGGTGCAGTATTGTGACAAAAGCATAAAGGATGGCAAGAACTATACCATTGCACTGTTCTTTAATTTTATATGAATATTCACTCTAAATAGACTATGAAATGCTAAGGGTGCATATTGCACTTTCTAGCAGCAACTTAATTGCATAATGCAAGAGGTATGCTTAAAAGCCAATAAAGGAATTGAAATGGAATACAAAAAATTCATTATCTTAAACCAAGTGGGAGAGGAAGAATAAATTTTCATAAAACAAATGGGAAAAACAAAAAACTGGTAACAAAATCAAGACCTGGATTCAACCATCATCAATAATTATATTAAATATAAGTGGACTAAACCCTCAAATAAAAGGCAGTGATGGTCAAATGAGCTTTAAAACAAAAACAAAAAACAAGATCTAACTGTATACTGACCACAAAGGATACATTGTAAATATAAAGACATCGATTGGTTAAAAGTATAAAAATAGGAGAAAATATACCATACAAATACTAAGCATATAAAAGTAGGATGGCAATATTAATATCAGACAAAATGGACTTCAAGACAAGGAACATTAACAGAAAGATAGAGAGGGACATTTTCTAAAGAGAAAAGGATCAATTCATCAAGAAGTCATAACAATTATACATATGTATGTACCAAATAATAGAGTTTCAAATTACATGAAACAAAACTGACTGAATTATAATAGAACAATTAAACAAAAAATCAGTAAGAATATAGAGCTGAGCAATCTTTTCAACCACCTTGACTTAATATTTACAGAAAACTAAACCCAACAACTTCCAAATATATGTTTTTTTATGAGCAAAATAATTTTTACCAAGATACATAATATCCTAGTCCAAAAAATAAGACTCAGTACATTTCAAAACTGTTAAAATCTAATTAAGAATAGTTTTTAACAACAATGCGATAAAATTTGAAGTTAAAAAATATAAAATATCTAGAAAATCCCCAGATATTTGGAAATTAACTCACTTATAAATAACCTGTGGCCAAAGAAGAAATCACAAAGGAAATTCGAATATTTCAAATTGAATGACAATGAAAATACAACACATCTAAATGGGTGGGATGCAGCTAAAGCACAGCTTAGAGGAAAATATATCATTTAATTTCTTGTATTAGAAAAGGGAAAAAGGGTTTAAAGTAATTATCTAAATTTCCACCTTAAATAACTAGAAAAAAATAGCAAATCACTTCCAAACTGAGTGGAAGGAAAGAAATGATAAGAGTGGAAATTAATAAACTAGAAAATGAATAGAGACCAGGCAAAAAAGAGAAAACACAAATTGCCAATATCAGGAATGAAAAAGGGAATATTGCTATCGATCCCATAAACATGAAAAAGATAAAAGAAAATCATCACAATTTTATACTAATAAGTTCAACAATTTAAATGGTTGCTTTGTAGATTTCTGAGTTGTTCTTAATCATTGTTTTGTAAATTCCACATACATGAATTGAGACAGTTTCACTGCTTCCATTCCAATATGTATATTTTTTACTTTTTTCCTGCTTTGTTGAAATGGCTGAGACCTCCAGTATCTGTTAAATTGAAGTGGTGAGAGTGAACATTCTTGCTTTGATCCTGATGTTAAGGGGAAGGAATTAATATTTCGCCACTAAGTGTGATGTGGCTACTATAGATTTTTATTCTAATTGCACCGGGAAGTCATAGGGTTTTACTTGCGTGAGTGACGTTATCTAATCTACATTTTTTAAAAAAACCACTTGGTCTGCTGTGTAGAGAATGGGCTCTGGGAAGAGGAGCAGAAGCAGGGAGACCATCGGGAGGGGCTGTTGCAGTTGTGCAGGGACGAGGTGGACATGCTTTGCCCAGAGTGACAGCAGTGGACGTGGAGAGGTGGTTGGATTTGGGGATACGTATTTGTAGAGCTGACAGGACTTGCTGATTTATTGAATTTGGGGTTAAAAAAGAAAACCCACACTTACAGCTTAAATAACTGTTTATTTCAGATTTTTTTCCTGTGGATTTTAGATATTTTTATTATTCATTTCCTCTTTAGAATGGATCAGTGAAAGTAGATACAGTATTTTAAAAAATCTAGCCCTATGTTATTTAGGATTTCATTTTTTTAATATAGTTAGAAGATTCTAGAAAGAACAAGGACCAATATTTATACTGGATTTTTTGTCGGTTTTAGACACTAGTGTTCTGAACTACATTTCTGTGTCTTTCTTTTTAGGTTTGTCCAAGACTGGTTTTCAGAAAGGACGCAAGTGGCCAAAGTGGATTTCTCTACAGTGTTACCACGCTTCATTTCTCTCTATATCTTTTCCTTTCTGAATCCAAAAGATTTGTGTGCATCTGCACAAGTCAGCTGGCCCTGGAAGTTTCTAACTGAACAGGTTTACTACTTGTCACTTCTCAGTAATAGGGCCCAGATACCACTGTATTCTGTCATGTGGCAATCGGGGTAGCTTCCTTCCCAATCTTTCTCTTTTAGCTGGGGTAATTTTTCTATTTACATTTGTGTACATATGGATATATTTAAGCTTAAGTCCACCATTTTACTATGTATTTTTTGTTTGTTCCACGTGTTTTGTTTTGTTTCTCTTTGTCTTTTGGAGTACTTAAGTGTTTTTTAGATTGTTAATTATAAATTATTTAGCAGTTCTCTCATGGCTATATTAGAAATTACAGCACTCATCCAGGCCTTTTTTTTTTTTTTTTTTTAACCACTTCTGAGATAATGCAAGGAGCTTAGGACCCTTTAACTCTATTTACTCCCCTCAATCCCCTCCCCACCCAGTTTCAATGCTGTTAAATATTTTAATTTCATACACACACACAAAATACACATTTAAATTTATATGTGTATATATATATGTATATATATACACCTCACAAGACTATTATTTGATATAGTTAATATTTACTTATAAGTAACCACATATTTACTTTTTCTGTTGCTCTTCATATCTTCCTGTATATCTGAGTTTCCATTTGGGCTCATTTTCCTTTTGAATTCTCTTGAATATTTCTTCTAGTGCAACTTGCTGCTGACAAATTCTCTTATTTTTGTCTGAAAATATCTTGATTTTACCTTTATACTTGAAGGATATTTTCACAGGGAATTTGAACGCTAGGTTGGCAATTAATTTTATAGAACATTGAAATTTTCCTGTTGTTCTCTGGCTTCCATAACCTTTTTTTTTTTTGAGAAGTAGGAAGTTTTATTGTTGTTCCTTTAATGGTAATATTTTTATTTTCTCTAGCTGCTTTTAGGATTCTTTTTTTTCTGTCTTGTCTTCTATTTTCCACAATTTTATTATGATGTACCCAGAAGTGTGTGTGTGTGTGTGTGTGTTTCTCCTGTTTTGAGTTTTTTGGTGATTTTTGAATCTGAGATTTAATGTCTATCAGTTTTGAAAAGTTCTCACAGTCTATTTCCTTATATATTGCTTCTGCCCCATTTTCGCTCTTTTTCTTGTGGGATTCCAGTACTTACATGTTAGACTGATTCACCATCTCCCACAAGTTTCATGTTCTCTTCTGTGTCTTTTCCATCATTTTGGCCTTCAGTGTTTCTGCCTGGATTTTGCTTCTAGCTTTTTGTTTACTAATTATCTCTTTAGCTGGATTCTAATTTGCTTTTAAACTGGTCCATTGAGTTTTAAATGTCAGTTATTATATTTTTCAGTTCTAGAATGTTGATTTGATTATTTTGCCAAAATTTCTCACCTAGATAATTAACTTCTTAGACATTAATTATAGGGTTGTTTGTTTTTTAGTTTCATGCCTAACAATTATAACGTATGGCTCTCCTGAGGGTCTCTCTCTACTTAATAATAAAAGACAAAAAGAGAAACAATTGTTATCCTTTTATGTGCCTGGTATTTTTGATTGAGTACCAGATATTGGATATAAAATTTTGATGCAATAATTTGAGCCTCTGGATGATGTTTCCTTCCTCCCGAGAGAATTTGCTTTTGCTTCTGGCATTTGGTTAGGCTAGGAATAGATCACTTAAATCCAATCAGAGAAGGAGAGATTTTAAAACTAGTTTCGGTCTTTGTGAGAGTTTGTCTAATTCCTGACCCTCACTGATAGCGATCTCAGAGGATGGCCTGGTGTGATTACTAGGGCTTTTCCCCTTAGTGGGCGCTGAATTTAAATTTGTTTCCTCTCTTCCTTGTGAGAATGCATAAAATTCTTTTTAGCTTCCATGTCATTCAGCTGTAACTTTCTGCTCTGCTTCTCAGCCTGAGCTTGACTTTGGAACTGTCAAATGCCTTGAAGTGAAAAGTCATGCCAGATATTGGCCTTCCCTCTTGGGTTTCCCTTCTCTCTGGGGTCATGGGCACATGAGCCCTTAGTGCATTGGTAGCTCTATATGCCTTCAAATAATTGTTTTATGGTATTTTGTCTAGAGGCTTAATTCAATTAAACCACATGAAATTTGCTGTTTCCATATATCAAAGCTGTTTGCATATTGGCAATATCACATGGTTCAACCAAAGGTGTTCCCAGTGGGAGGTTTGGTGTGAAACAAACGGATACACTGTTGCTAGTAGCAGAATTCTCAGAATCTAGGGTTAACCAAATGCTATGGGAGCACGTGTACAAAGATGGCTAATACATATATTCATATATAACATATATTGTCATCAAAGACTATTTTTGTATGGAGTGAGGTATGCTTCTTATTTGTTAGTGTCAAATTTAGATAACAAGTCAGCTGCACCAGAAATCCCAATGTAAAGAAAAATTATCTGCGTACCCGGAAACATTATTACTAGGAAATGGGCCTTAAAAATTTCTTGCAGTTTATATTTCTCATTTCTTTTTCTGTAGGACTGCTTATGGATGCCTAAATGCATTAGGTTCGGGTGGTTTCTGCCCTATACGCCAACAGATAATGAGTATGGTGCTTGGAAGCATCATTACATTGCTTGTGTGTCCAGCTTAGATTGGCTAATACCTAGGGAAGCCACTGCTATCTATGGGACCCTGAACGAACCCAAACCAGAAGATGAGGAGCTGCAGGAGAGACAAAGAGAAAAGTGCTTAAGAAAAATAATTTGGGAGAAAATTGCACTACGTAAGAGTGAGTATCATTTTAAAACGATATCTTACCCAACTATTGTAGAAACAAATGGATTTACATACAGATTCCCACAGAGGACGATAGCTAGGTCTTTCTGGAAGTGTGTGGGTGGCATGCTCTAAAGTATACTCCAGACAAGCTCTTCCCCTACCCCCTACTATGTTTCAGGTTAATGAATAAGAAAAAAAGATTTCAGATGAAATACAGAAAGTCAAGTATCAGTGCCTCCATTATTGCTCTGGTAAATCTCAGGTTTATGAGATGAAAAACAAACAAAGAGAGGTAACTATGAACACAGGCAAAAGCAAATAAGTAGGTTCAGGACAGAAGAACTGGGATTAGCAACAGAGGGGAGAAGTGAAACTGGGACTGGAAGCAGGAAGAATGGCATTAAAAGAAGAAAAGTGGGAAGGGAAGAGGGATAAGAGCCCCTCTCAGCGAAGCCTTCTGATTTGCACAGTGCACAACAGAACAAGTGATTTGAGTCCTGCCATCTTTTTTTCACTGACTCACCCTCTGTGAGATCATAACAAATGGGAGATTACTTGAAGCCAAGAAGAAGGGCAGAAATGGATGTGAAGCCTGTAAATCGATTAACTGGTTTCCACAAGAAAAGAGCTGCTTGTTCTCTGAGCTTTGTTTCCTGACCTGACATGACTGGTAACTTGGAACCCCAGTGCTGAGAGGATAAGAAATCCAAACAGAGTCTGTAAAAAGGGCTATAATTATTGCCATTTGGAATAGTGCCCTGGTACAGCTTTATTTTTGATGCCTTTGTCTACGTAGACTTGGCGGAGAGAAGCAAGAAGTAAACAACGTAGCCTGCTGCTGTTTGTTTTTCAGAGGAGTTATTCAAAGTTCGACCCCCTTGGGTGAGCGGAACATGCTGCTCTAGATCGTTAAAATCCAAACCCCAGCCACGTCTCTCCCAGGCTCTGAGGGATCGAGTGGGACTACATGAAGCTTTGGAGAAACAGCTTGTTTTGGCATCCTTAGAAGCTTTGCCCAAGCGGTAAGCAAACCTCCATCTCCTGAAGGCTCAAGACCATCCCATGATACCAAAAATTCATTCTAGAATAATTTAGCTAACACGCAGGGAGCTTGTATAATTAGCTGACTCATATCCTACGACATAGCAATAGAACTAACTCTTTAATCTTCCAGAGCAGTGGTCTTTGACATGTTTTCTGAAGAGGGAAATCTGTAACATTCAAATTTTACATTTCAAATATTCTCGGCCCTGCAAAGAGGCTGGGATGTAGTACATTTTCTATGCAAAGTTATTGAGCAAAAGTAACATTTTTTTTCAGAAATGTTTTTCATGGAGTAAGCATATCCAAATGGGAATATGGGGGTAAGGGTAAGAGAATGGAGGTATTATTTAGAAAGCTCTGAGGACCAGATGATCTAGGAAATTTTAAATCTCTCAGCTGTTCCTTTTTAAAATGTCATTTTGAACCCCTAAGTATGTCACTACATTCATTTTAAGTACCCAACAAAAGCTAAATAAGTTCCAGGAGACCTTTCTAGTACCCCATGGACAGAGGAGGAGAGACCCAGAGGCCAGCCCCAGCCCCACCTGACCCAGGAGCCCCATTTGCCGCTGTCCCCAAAAACTGCAGGGAGAGACTGAGGTCCAAAGGCCACGTGCCTTGTTCAGTATAACTGATGCCCAGACAACAGGTTGGTACTCAGTTATCAAAATCCAACTAATAGGAAATTTAAATTTCACTTATTTCCTTCTTTTCCCTATAGAAGCAATGTTTCTGGAAGCCATTCCTACCCTTTCTTATTGAAGAAAACTTGGCATGGAGTTCATAAAAATGATAACAGTTCTTCATATGCTTCCCAGCCCCACTTCTTATTAATATCATCTCGGATTCCTGCATGCGAGGTACGGAGTATGTTGGGAGGCCTGTCCTTTTCTGAATCGGGTTTTTTTTTTTTTTTTTTTCCATCTACATGAGAAGATGTATAGCAATCTTTTGACCACCATGTGTATGAAAATGATTTCTTTTCTAAAAGGAAAATGATCTAAGTGGAAATTTACATACCCAAAGCACTTTTAAAAATCAGAAGCAATAAAGATAACCATAAATCAAAATTACTTTTAAAAAAAGCATTAAAGGCTAAAACTCCAGTGAATCCTTATTGAACTGAACTTGTTGCACTTATCCCCAAAAAGAGCAAGGTGATTAGGATTATTTTAAAACCTCTTTGCCCAAGGAATTAAATACTATCATATAACCATCATTTCTCAAAAGAAAAATGTCAGAAATCCTATTTTGTGGGCTATTAAAGGAGGGTGTCATTAAATTATGTTCTTTCTATAATAAGTTATATAATTTTAATATAATAAGAAAAATAAAGGAAGCACAAAGAAGACATAGGAAACCTCTATTTTTATAGATATGTGTGTATATATGTATATATGACACACAAAGAGGGACATACGTAAAGGATGACATTCAGTAGGTTACAATCATTGGCCTACTTAGAAAGTTTTTTAAAAAATTCCTATTTGTAACAAAATGGTTGCTTTCAAGATATGAATTCAGTATTCTTTCTGGGCACCTAGAAATTGACTCTGATCATTTACAACTGGCCAGCTTCATGGATCCACATGAAAGCAAGATCAGAGTTTTGATCTCCATGTGGGCCCCAAATAGAGTCCCTAATGTTTAATAATGGGCATCAGGCTGGGCACAAAGGATAACCAGTGACAGAGTAGGGGTGAAAAATCTAGTTCAAAGTAAGTCTATTCTCCTATTTGTCTTCTTTACATAAGTCTATGCCATGATTACTTATTTTATTATGAATGTGATGGCTGTTTAAGCAAAAAGTAGAACATAACCATGTGGTAGTCCTCTGCTCAGTTTGAACTGTGACCTTCAGAAAGTGGCATGAGGTTTGGGAGAAAAAAAAAATCATCGACTTTAATGACTTTCCAACTTGTCTGCTGCTAATGAATTAACTTTATCACAATGAAAAGTCCATTTGGTTGCTGAGTTCAAAGCACATTTCATATTTACTTAAATGGCAAATATTTAATCAATCAATATTGATAATTCAGAAATTCATGATTAAGAGGAAAACTTTAAATCTATTTTAAAAGGCCATTGCAAAATCATATGATCTCAACTTGATTATTTTTTAAGAGTTGCATATATGTCTCTTCATGGGTATGTACAAAGATAAAAAGGCTGGAAGAAAATAATTTAACTTGTTAATAGTATTTATCTGTGCCGGAGTTAGAAGTGTACTTAATTTTCTCCTCTTATAATTAGAAAAGAAAATCATTGAAAAAGAAGCCAACGAATGATAAAGCTTATCTTCCTCTTTCTATAATTTCTGGAAAAAAGTGTTTAAAAATCACAGCAGATTACATACCCACTGTATTTATTTTATTAATAAATATTCTAAAATAATGGGCTTTGGTTTCATTTTCTAGATGGTGGTGGACAGCATTAAGACAGGTATCATTTCTGTGGTGTACGAACATAGCGGCTTAACCTTGGAGAGCCTGCTTTATCTCATAGAGAAGGCTCTGGATGGACAGAAGGTACAGAGTATGGGGATATTTAGTGATGGAGACAGCAGAGAAATCAATTTACTCCAAGGTAAGCCTGGAGATTGGAAACAACCAACTTTGCACCAATGTGGTGTTTGTCCACGTGTATGAATTTCAGAGCACTATTTAAGTTTCAATTTGCTAACAGAGTTGATATCCCAGCTCAAAGCAGTCATACAGGAGGAGTTCCCTCTTATTGAAGGGAGGGTCAGCCTTTTTGTTCTATTCAGGCCTTCAACTGATTGGGTGAGGCCCACCCACACTGGGAATAGTAATCTGCTTTATTCAGTCTGCCTGTTCAAACATTAATCTCATTTCCACTCTCACAGACACACCCAAAATGATGTTTGTCCAAATATCTGAGCACCCGTGGCCCAGTCAAGTTGACATGTAAAATTAACCAGCACACCATTAAACAAGAACTTTTGTTTTCCCTCTTATTCCAGCCCCTTCTACTTTCTGTTTTTATCAATTTGACTACTTTACATATCTTATATAAGTGAAATCATACAGTATTTAACTTTGTGGTTATTTCACTTAACATAATGTCATCAAGTTTCATCCACGTGGTAGCTTATGACAGGCTTTCCTTCACTTTTTAAGGCTGAATGATATTCCTTATATGTATAGACCACATTTTGTTTATCCTTTCATTTGCTGATGGCCATTTAGGTTGCTTCCACCTCTTGGCTATTGTGAATAGCACTGTTACGAACATGAGTGTGCAGATATCTCTTTGAGATTCTACTTTAAATTCCTTTGGATATATAGCCATACATGGGATTGCAGAATTACATGGTAATTTTATTTTTAATTTTTTGAGGAACCTCTATACTATTTTCCATGTGGCTGCACCATTTTATACTCCCACCAACAGTGCACAAGGGCTCCAATTTCTTCACATCCTCACCAACATTTGTTATATTCTGTGTTTTTGTTTGTTTTTAGTTGATAGTAACTATCTTAATGGGTTTAAGATGATATTCATTATGGCTCTGATTTGCGTTTGTCTACTGATTAGTGATGTTGAGCATTTTTCATATGCTTATTGGCTATTGGTATATCTTCTTTATATATATCTATTGAAGTCCTTTGCCCATTTTCTGATGGGTTTATTTGCTATTCTTTATTGAGTTGTAGGCATTCTTTATATAGTCTAGATATTAATCTTATCAGATATGATTTGCAAATATTTTCTCCCATTCTGTATGCTGCCTTTTACTCTGTTTATTATGTTCTTTCATGCACAAAAGTTTTTAAGTTTGATGAAAGTGTAGCAATTGTAATAGCAAAACCCAAGATCTATAAATTGGTGTGCACGAACAGCATTTTTTCATACTTCCAAATGGCTTATACCGCAAAGAAAAGGATGGGCTGATATCATTAACTTATTATGGGTCATCTTTTAAAAATGTCAATGGTTATCCTTCTCAGAGGGAAGGAGATGATGAACGTTTTAGAATTAAAGTTTCAGGGCGCCTGGGTGGCTCAGTTGGTTAAGTGACTGCCTTCGGCTCAGGTCATGATCCTGGAGTCCTGGGATCGAGTCCCACATCGGGCTCCCTGCTCAGCAGGGAGTCTGCTTCTCCCTCTGACCCCTCCTCCCTCTCATGCTCTCTGTCTCTCATTCTCTGTCTCGCAAATAAATAAAATCTAAAAAAAAAAAGTTTCAGTTCTATTCTTCTTTATACTATAACTTACATCTTTCCTTGTTATACCTAAAATAGAACGGTTTTAAGATTTACTAGCATGAAATCTTCCATCTCTGTGAGATGAGGGAAGAAAGGGAATAAGATGGTCAAGGATCCATCTGGCAGGGAACCCTTAAATGGCACAGTGGGTACCTGAATCCCCCATCAAACTACTACCTCTGTGGCCATGTTACCCGGGGACCTGTCCCAGCTGCTAACTCAGGAAATGAGCAGGGAGCCTGATGCTCTGCCGGGGCCAACTGCTCCATCTAGGGGAATCCCAAAAGGGCTGTACAAATGGAAAGCTTAGCTCCTGGCTGGGTTTGTCACTATTGCCCAACAAACTCAGATAAACTCATGGCAAGAGAAGCCAATCACTCATGAGACAAGGGTTTGGAAAAAAGAAAGGAAAAAATGTATTTTGGGTGCCAGTAGCCAGGGGAGCTAGCAGGCTCAAGCCTTCCCAACTGGCCTCTCCACCTGCAAGATGGACACTGGGGTTTTATAGAGACAAGTTCAGGGGGAATGTGCCAGGGAGCAGGCAGGGAGCACGTGATCATGAGTGGGGGGTCAGTATGTGTTCAGCCCAGGATCACAGACAGGGAAGCGGACATGTGGGTGTGGGGTGTGGTCTTCTAGGCATTCCATTATTATCAGGGCTTTTCTGGCCTGATTGGAATGTTCCAGTCATTGCAAAACATCTCATCAATGTCTCAAGAAAGTACAATAAGAAATACACATAATGTGTTTTAGTTGAAGCATGAGTTAAGCAGTCTTGTCTATTTCTGGTTTTAACTGTTGGGGTCTCTAGTTGAGCAAGAAGGCGTGTTAACAGCTAGAACTCAGCATGCTTGGAATAGTTTTGGTAAATTTTATCAACTAAAATAAACTACTTTTGATTTATCTTTGCCTTTTTTTTTTTTTTTTTGTCTTTTCTTATTGAGTTTGCCTATGCCTGGAACAAGTTGTGTTCCACATCTAATTTTATATATCCCCCAAAAGTAAAGCATAGCTACTCGTTGGGGTTTACATTTTTACATTTATGATTAATTACATGGTAGCTTTCCTCTAAATGATGGAGAGGTATCAATTACAAATTTATACTGTAGTGTAGTAGGTTTACCCCCTATAGAGTAGAAGTACCTGTTAGGGTTTTCTAACATCTCAGACTTTTTGTTCTGCAGATGAGAAAGATTTCCAAACTCTGCCTTTTTCCTTGTTTTCTTATTTATTTATTTATTTAAGAGGGGGGGAGAGAGAGAGAGAGAATCTTAAGCAGGCTCATGCCCATCACAGAGCCAGATGCAGGGCTGGATCTCATGACCCTGAGATCAAGACCTGAACGGAAATCAAGAGTTGAATGCTTAACTGACTGAGCCACCCAGGTGCCCCATGTCATATTCTTTTTAAAATCAGTAGTAACATAACAAAGTACCTGACAACTAAATTTTCCCTCTATGTAATTTTGGTGTTTCACCAAGAGCTTTTGCCTTAAAACCAACAACAAAATGAAATCTCTTCCTCCAGTCATCTGAAGAGGTCCTTCCATTCTGAATCTAGACTTCTCGATGGAAAGAAGTGAAATGTTGGGATGCTTGCCTGACTTTGTTTTCACTTCCTTACTGGGAGTTAAGAATTCAGAGTCTCCAGGACTCCTTTGGAAATGGGTCTGGACACATGCCAGATTCACGTGTCCATCATACAGAATTCCCAGGAAGTGAGAGTTTCAGTGATGGTTACCATCTTCTGGAGTCATTCAGAACAGAAGACTGAATTATTACTGTGCAACTTGGTGGCAAAAATCCCAGGACTTGGCCGGCCATCTACCCCGAGCCCTGCTGTGAGCCTGGTAATGCACACGGCTGCACAGTGGAGGCAGAGAGACAAGGTCCTAAATCTAGGTGCGCAGTGTCCAATAAATCCAGAACGTGAAGGAGAGTGTGGCCATGTTGACGTCCTTTTGTGGCCTTGATATGGCCCAGTGCTGGAGCAGGGGCGTCCTCCAGATCGGGAGTCTTACGAGCAGACACTGGCTTTTTGAAATATGGTTACATTTTCACAGAGTGCTTCGAGTTTCTGTTCATGATAATGTTACAAGCTAATATGACATTTTGAGTTCTTCCTCAGGTTACAAAATTGGTACTAAAAATTTATTGAGGCCTGAAGTGAGAGACTTCTGGGAGAAACTAGGAAGCTTTGTGGCCCCTGAAGAAGAAGGGGGTCACGTGGACCTCTTTGTACCCCTTGGAGCATCAGGTCAGTTTGGAAAGGCAGTGGTCATGCCTACCTCAGTGATATTTTGTGAATATTTGAAATGATTCAGTCACACTTTACTCTTTCTCCCTTTTCCCTAACACCTCACATACTCATGTATTTAGGGGGAAAAGAGCTGGCGTTAGTGGTCCGTGTAACCTGTCCCTGCAGAATAAGGTCACTAGTGACATGAGCCAGCCACGGATATTATTTGTAGCTCTTCTGGAAAACACAGTAAAACCAGCCACCGCAATACAGGGGAAAATGCCTGAAACCATCATCAGTTGGTCTGAGAAAAGCCTCCCTGCTGTGTTCTGAACCTGGAAGGAATGAGCATGAACTTGGTGACCAGGGACCTTGGGCTTGAATCCCACTCATGCCACTTGAGCTGTGTGGCTTTAGGCAAGTTTGTGGACCTCTGTTTCCGCATATGAAAGTTAGGATGATAGTACCTTACCTTACAGGACTTGTATCAAAGTAATGTAAATACTTATAATAAATACACTTATAAAAATACTCATGATAAAAATAAATGATATAAATACTTAAATAATATTTGAATATTAAAAACAGACAAAGTGCTTGGTAAAGAGGAGACTGGTTGCTGATCCCGGAGGTTACTGATACAATTTTAAGTGCCCATCTGTCTAGTATCAGTCACTATAATTCAAAGTTGATTTCAGTACTTGAAGAGAAACTCTAGAAACATTAAGACAAATTCACTTTTTAGACATCTGTTAAAAGCTCTGCATTCATGGTTTTTTTTTTTTTTTTTAATGCCAAGCAGAGGAAGGCAGAGGGAGTATAAAATTAAATTTTCTCAGTTTCTTTTTCCCATCCCTTAGGGAACTGTGAGTTTTAAAGTTCGTTCTAATCCTCGGATTTCACTGAGCTATGCACACAGGCCAAGTATGCCTCTGGCAGGCTTCAACCAGGGGAAAGGGAAAAACAGAAGTATGGGAAGTGGTTTAAAAGAAAACAAATTACAGAATATCGTAAAAAAAATTTTTTTTTACAGTTATGACAATTATGTAATCTTAACTATAGAAAATATGCATAGAAAAATCTAAGAAGAAATATAACACAATTAACAGCATCTATCTCCAGATGTGTTTTTCAGATTTCCTACTTTTGAAATTAGAATATGGATGGTGTGATTCCTTCGTTTAAATCCTGTGTGTGTATGGGGGAGGGTGGCAGTGTATAGAAAAGAGTTTGGAAGGATGTATACCAAGGTGTAAACAACAGTTGGATAAGTGACTTTTCTTTCCTTTTATCTTTTTTCCTTTTATCTCTTATATGTCCCTATTTTCTGTAATGAACTAGTATTACTTTTATAATGAGAGCAAAGCAATTTTTTTTTTAAGATTTCATTTTTTTAAGTAATCTCTACACCCAACGAGGGGCTCAAACTTACAACCCTGAGATCAAGAGTCAAATGCTCCACCAACTGAGCCAGCCAGGCGCCCCACAAAGCAAATTTTTTAACTGGAGTAGAAGAAAAAGAAAGGATTTGGGAAAGTAAGGCGTTGAAAGGGATCTAGAATAAGGGGAAAAAAACAATAGATTTGGTGACATAAAAACTGTCTCAAGTGAAACTTGATGGCACTCAACAGTAGGTTTCTCACCACCATTTTGGCCCCCAAATCATCCCCAAACTCCTCATCAAATGCAATTTCCACCTGGAGAAGCCGTCAAGACCCTGATTCAGACGAAAGGCCCCAGCTTCTCAGTCCAAAAATCTCTTTTCTGCCACCTCAGGCCTCACTCGGGAGCTTGTCATCCCCAGTAGCTGTATGGTCTCTGAGCTTGATCTCCAGCATTTTTCTGAGTACCACTTCCAAAACATGCACCTAATATTCCAAACACCATGCTCCAAATACTCCTATTCTATCAGCTCTTTGCCTCAAGACACTCCCACTTTTCCACTCTCTGTCACCCTGCCTTCATCCTCGGTTCCTTCTTTGTTAAACTTGGATTTAATGGTTCGTTATTATCATTACTCTCTTGCAAAGAATCTGAATTCTCGGGCTAAATGTCAGCACTCCGTAAACACCATCACCTGCATTCTCTATGCCTGTCTGCACTGAAGCAGCTGTGTTGAAAACAGTACTATGGCTTTTCTTATTCATCTAACCTGACTTTGCTGCCCTAAGTATCAAATGGGGCTGTGGCACTGACAAGCAATCCTACCACCTTCCCTTGGAAAATTCCTTTCCCACTCCCTGAGATGACTCTATCATCCCTTCTCTTCCTTCCTCCATCTTTCAAGAACCTCTCTCTCAGCTGTTGACCTCACCTTTTACTCCCCAAACTTCCCTCCCACCACCAAATCCACCACCTACCCCACCTCGTACCTTTATTCTCTGTCTTCCCTTCTGTCACGGTGGAAGAAGCAGCTCTGCTCAAATCAGAGATCAAGCATCCCACCGCCTTTCACCTCCTCACGACCACATTCCCACGCTCAGTTCTCTCCGACAGCCTCACCCCTCCCTCTTTATTGGGTCATTCCTATCAAATCAGGAACACATGTAGTACCAGCTCCTGTGCTAAAAAAGAGACCATAAGTTGCCCTCACCTGTAGACACTCAACCTAGATACACCTATGTACTGACTATACCGTGGTTCTCAAATGTTAGTATGTATCTGAGTCACCTAGAAGGCATATTAAAGTACTCACTGCGGGGTCTCGTCCTAGCATTTCTTACTCACTAGGTCTGGCGTGTGGGCTGAGAATTTTCATTTCTAACAAGTTCCCAGGTGTTACCGCTGCTGCTCAGCAGGGGTCCGCTCCAGATTCTCTCTCTCTCCCCCCCTCAGCCCCTCCCCCTGCTCACTCACATTCTCTTTCTAAATAATAAAATAAATAAAATTTAAAAATTTCTGAAGCAGCTTTATCAAGGTGTAAATGACGTAAAATAAACTGTACATATTTAAAGCGTGCACCTGGATAAATTTTGACATAGGTATACATACCCTGTGAAACCATAAAATAATCAAGATAATGAACATATTCACCACCCCCAAAATGTTCCTCATGCCACTCTGCAATTTTTTCCTCCTGCTTCTCCCCATCCCCATCCTGAATTAACTGCTGATCTCCTTTCTTTCACAATGCATTAGTTAGTATTTTATAGAATTTTCTATAAATGGAATCATACACGGCTTGCATTCTTTTTTGTCAGGCTTCTTTCACTCAGAAGAATTACTTTAGATCCACCCGTTTGATGCTTGTATCAATGGCTCATTGTTTTTTTATTGCTGGGAATTATTGCACTGTATGTATATACCACAGTTTGTTTATTCAGTCACTTGTTGATAGATATTGGAGTTCTTTCCAGTTCCCGGGTCTTAACCTAGAAAGCTGCTATGAACCTATGTGTGAACATATGCTTTTATTTCTCTTGGATAAATACCTAGGAGTGGAATGCCTGGGTCATATGATAGGTGTTAACTTTTTAAACACTGGCGAAACTGTTTTCCGGAGTGGTTGTACAATTTTACATTTCCACTAGCAATGTATGAGAACTCTAGTTGCGCAGTACCCCCATATTGGGTACGTGGTCTTCTTAATGTTAGCCGTGCGAGTGGGTGTGCATTAGTATCTCATTGTGGTTTTAATTTGCATTTTCCTCATGACTGATGATGCTGAACATCTTTTCATGCACTTACTTGCCATTCATTGGTCTTCCTTGGTGCAGTGTCTGTTTGAATCTTTTGCTCACGTTTAAAATTAGGTTGTTTCTTTTCTTATTGAGAACTCTTTATGTATTCTAGAAAAGTGATTTACAAATATTTTCTCCCAGTCTGTGACTTATCTTTTCCTTCCCTGAACAGTCCCTTTTGAGATGAAGTTCTTAATTTTTGTGAAGTCAAATTTATCTATTTTTTTTCTTTTATAGGTTATACCTTCAGTGTCATATCTGAACACTATCTGACTAAAGTTCACAAGATTTTCTTTATTTTAGAAATAAAGAATTTCTTCTAAATTATTTACAGTTTTGACTTTTAGATTTCTGATCCATTGATTTATTTGTTTGTTTTATATAGTTTTAAAAGTATGGGTTGAAGTTTCATGTTTTTTTAAGGTATGGATATCTAATTTTTCCAGCACCATTCCTTGTAAAGATTATCTTTTCACAGTGTGTTCCATTTGCATCTTTGTTGAAATCAATTGACTACATATATGTAGGTATATCTGTGGACTCTATTTGATTTCATTGATCCATTCCAATTAAAAGATTAGACCCCCAGTAAATGAGAGACATCCCAACCTTTCAACCACCGCCATCTTGTTCCAACCAATTTGGAGTAATTGTTTATTCTTAGACCACAAAGAATTAAAATACATAATCCAATATATTAGTTTCATTCACACTAATTCCTTCTATATGCTGAATCCAATCTTTATGCTGTGTCACTGAAGAAGGGGTGAAATTAATACCACACTAAATTTTGACCATCGTATTTAACAGTTTCAACAGTTCTACATCTGTCCTTTTACAATGAGACTTCTCCTTTGAGTCAGACTAGTTTAGAAAATATATTAGATTTTTCTCTGTCTTTGGCCTGAGTATTCCAACTTTGAAAATAAACACCAGGTCAACCTTCCTGCCCTGTCTCTCCACCCTGTTGTTTAGTCCTCATTAACTAAATGTTTGGACTTCAGCACTTAGAGGTGAGCTAGAAAGTGCTTACGGACTGTTCCATGAGGGATTTGAATCGAAGATGAGAAATGCTAGGGACCTTTCTTGGCCAGCTTAGCGCTCCTAAGCGGTACTTAACTGTTCCAAGGCAAAACCTGTGAGTAAACTAATGAAAGTATTTTTGACTCTGCAGAGGCAGGAATGGAAGTTCTTTCCCAGTTGTCTCAACTAACTGGCACGTTCTTTACTGCCCCCACTGGAATTGCAACTGGCTCTTACCAACACAGTAAGTGTATATGGGGGCTGACCACAGTGCCCAGGAACATCCTCAACTCCGGGGTCACCAAAAGGCAAAGCCCAGCTAATAATACTGGTTCTGGCCCATGTCGATGACTGTCTTCCATTCCCTCTCGAAAGGAATGCTGTCACTACCCAAACTATGTCATTTTCCATGGTCCAGTGCCCTTTCAAGTGCTTAGAAAGGGATTATTTATTACAAATATTTGCTTCAAACCATCATGTACACAAACTCTGTTGAAAACATCATTTTTAATAGTTAAAGATGTATAGTTGCTGATCTAGAGAAATAACAAGTACCAAGAATAATTCTTCTTAGTGAGACAGAATCAATATGGGTTCCTTTGGAAATAAGAATTGCAGCTATAAAGAGATGGTGAAGGGGATTGCTCAGGTTCCAATTCAACTGCATTATCTGAGAGGAAAAACAAAGATAAAATATACACCTGAAAGGAAAGTTTCATTTAGATACTGAAGCTGCAGATATTAAATGCAAATGTAACACTGGCTGACCAACAAGAGTACCACAGTGCTCTGCTAAAGTAACAAGAACCATTTTCCCCTTTAAAACTCCCTGGCCTCCTATTACACGGGGTTTGGGGCCATGTAGAAACCATATAAAACATGACGTCTCTAATCCCAAATGCCAAGGGACTTTCAAGCCTGCGGAGAACTGGCATGATTGGAAACCTGTAAGGGAAAAGACTCCATGTATCTACAAAAAAGCACGTTGACCTGCTAGATTTTTGTAGCAGAAGTCACTTGTTAATTTAAGTTCTATAGCTACATTACCAAGTGATAGAAAGCACACTGGGCTTTGTGCAGATAGGATGGCAGCCTTGCAGCAGGGAGCAGGGTGCAAACACTGTTCTTTATGGGGCGGCTCTTCTTCCTTTTCTCCTCCTGTGTCTCCTCTTCCTTCTGTTCATCTTCCTTTTCCCTCTCTTCTTCTTAGTTTTCTTCTAGAAAAGCATGTTATAAAGAGTTGCACATGTTTATCAATAAAAATGAGGGGAGGGGAATCAAATAAGGCTATCTATCCATTGAGGACAGAAAATCAGATTTAACATGCCCCAGCATCATTCAGTAATTGACTTTCAAGGAGAGAACATCCTTAAGCACCCCTACAGTCATGTAGAGATATTTAGAGAGAGAGAGCAGCTTGACGTGATGTAAGGAAGCCACAGGGTTGGCTAGCCCAAGATGACTTTGGATGACATGGTGGGGAGACCAGGCAGAGTGGGGTTTTCTTGTATGTTCATTTTAGGATGTAAAGAAAAAGCAGCACATTCTTGCCTACTCTGCTTCCTGATATACAAATCCAGCAGCTATTTAATTTTGATTTCAAATGTAACATGTCAACCTTATCTGTCAAAGAAGAGATAGGCATTTGAAATTATTCATTGTGTCCTTAAGCTTCTAATTTTACCTTTGAAAGCAGCTAATGGGTGTTTCTCTTAGTCTTCTAATGAGAAAGGAGAATAAGTCTGCTGTAAATACAGCTAAGTTTTTGTTGTACCATAAATAAGAATTCTTCATCTGAGCTCCAGTCCACAATAATAAAAGGAGAAAATCATGTCAGTTCTTAGTGATTGGCTGGGAAGACCGTGGGAAAGGGCTCCCTGTTCCATCTACTTCAGTGAGTCAAAGCTGCAGATGTGGTCCAGTTTCACGGATTGTCTGGAAGACACCTTGAAATCAGTAAGGAAACAGTTAAGTCCTCTCTTCAAGGAGTTGCAAAAGAACATCAGTGCCAGGATAATAGGTAAGAACTCTTGATGCTTCTGTTGTAGGTTCATTATGAAGGTCCTTCCCTATCTAGGGTGAATACAAGGTCAGGAACGGCTCAAGCAAAAGCGGGCTTCTATACCTGTTCAGTAAAACTTTCTTTCCTTTGTTTTCCATATCTCCTTTCAAATGTAAGGACTATCCACTGACAAAAAATATATTCATCTTCAAAATGCTGAAGCTATTCCTTTTAAATAGTAGTGTTTTACTAATCCTATGCCCGTCAGTGGTTTACCTAGACAAAACTCACTGAGTGTTTGCTAAGCCAGAGGGCTCTGCCCTTCTTCCCACCACAATTTGGTCTAAAAGTTAAGCTCCTCTTAGACATAACACCCATTACTTAAGTTGTTCTACGATTGTGTTCTATGTATTTTCTAGATAAAATATTCAATTTGGTGGTGGGCTCTGCAGACCTCTGCTGAGCCTCTTGGACATCACTGAATTTATCATTCCATTTGCACTCCCTACTCATGACTAATCTATCACAATAGAGTCTTGGAAGCCATTTTCTGTGGCAACCAGATCTTCCCCTAAATCAGTCCATTCTTTAAAATGAAATTGTTTGTTTGTTTTGTTTATTTATCATCTGGGTAAATGACCACCACCCCCATCTTTAACTACCTATTCAATTTATCCCTAACGCTTCCCATCTGACTAAAATACCCTCGCAATCAAGTCATTATTTAGTTATGTCTTACTTCCTTCTTCCCTCCCTACCCTGCTTCTTATTAAGGTCCCAGACAATTACTGTCTACACAAGAGCAATAGCACATAAGTATGCATGTAGATATTTTATGTCAATGTATGTCCTACATCACTTTACATAAATGTCTCCAAAACAGGGAGCTGTCTTCTTGGTTTTATGTACTATCTGCTTGACCACATTTAGTAGATGTTCAACCAATATTTTAAAAAGGTTATAAGGCTATAAACAGGGAGAAATTATTTCTCGTTTTTTTTCATAGATATTAAGGACCAAAGAGAAAAGTAGAAAAATTAGCTTTTTCAAGAAAGAAGTATTTTTGATGATATTTGTAAGAAATGAGAAGTTAGATGGAATAAAATTATTTGCATATAAATGCACATTGTTCAAAATATTAAAAATATAAAAAGATGTCTGTAATTATGGTTGTATGTTGTTTGCTGTAAACTAAGTCTTGAACTCAAAAATACAGGGGTGTGAGGAGGAAGTTTTGGTGGGAATGAGAATCTAAAATTTAAACTTATAAGGTTTATTTTCACCTGTTTTCTCCTTATTGTCCAATTTATAGATTCTATTTAATATCAGCTTCACCAGGGCGGGTACTTTTTAATATGCTTTACATTTAGTTACGCTTGCTCAATTTATATTTTATCATGGTGGATAATCCCCATGGCATAATAGAATTTTAATTTTTATGCTTCACATTTTTTAATCCACTAAAAAGCAACTGTGAGGAATGAGTTGTTTTCTTCTTGCTCACATCTCTTACATCAATTAATTACAAGGCATATGGCCTTATGTACTTACAGGGCAGCTTACTTTTGACCACACGAGTATGGCTAGCATTCTGAATAACCGAGAAATTGCACAAGCTCTGGCAGATGGATTGATGGAACTTACAAAAGATAATTCTGTGAGTGTTTCTTTGAAGAAAGCAAACTTTAAAAACCTAACACTTTACGTTTTTAGTTTGCACTGATTTTTTTTTTAACCAGTTTATCCCTTGGGAGACACAATTCCTCTGAGAATTACATCAGGTTGTAAAAACAGCCACTGAGAGATTCTGGGCCCAAGATGTATTAGGTACACAAAATAGACAAATATAAGGGCACCTGGGCGGCTCAGTCGCTTAAGTATCTGCCTTCAGCTCAGGTTATGATCCCAGGGTCCTGGGATGGAGCCCCGCATGGGCAGCCGGGAGCCTGCTTCTCCCTCTCTCTCTCTCTCAAATAAATAAATAAATAAATAAATAAATATATATATATATGTATATATATATAAAAAATCTTTTTTAAAAAATAGACAAATGGGAAAATTTTCTAGGTTATTTAAAACGTATTTACATTGTGCGCTGTTTTCCGTCTTGTGATTAATTTCAGTCAGAAGTGACTTCCTTAAACAACATATTAGTGGCTTTATGTTTCACATAAACATTACTCAACAGTTTAAACAATTAATAGTATGATAGGAAAACCAAGAAAGCATGAAACCAGAAAATGATGAAGGGCAAAAAAGGCTAGTTGAGAGAGGAAGGGAAAGAGAACACAAAAAAACACAAATAAGCAAATCAATAAGTTAGTTGGGGACAGGCATGGGGGAAGCATGTAGAAGCATTTTTTTCAGAAACCAATCTTGGCTACTCTCCCAGAAAAGTCAGTCGACGCATCAGGAAATAGTGAGGAGAGACAGTATACGGGACCCCGTATGGCAAGGCTCTAGGACCATGAACTCTGCAGCTCTGTTCCGGGGAAGTGGAGAACAGGATAGGAATAGGGATGATAGTAACATACCTGATGCTACATAAGGTCTTTAGTTCTCCACGGAAAGATTCTCAATCCTTCTCTTCCACTGTAGTGATTCTACCTTGTGGATGAATTTAACATCATCTTTGTACATGTCCTTTATCTACCAGGGGTCTGCTCTGGTTTCAAGTTGGCTGCCTGGGTGAGCAGCAGGCATCTCCAGAGTTAGCTGAGCACAGGGCGGAGTCTGAGAAGCTGCAGTTGGCCATGATTTGTCTTCTCTGAAGACCCAGCTCCTCACTGTTCTAGCTACCCATCGTCAGCCCAGGGAGTAAAATGAACAGGGATGTTCACAGGGATGACCCGAGGTCTTGAAAGGTCCTGCACTGTCTCCTGAAAGACCAAAGAATTACTAAACGTGTTTGGTGTAGGTTCAGTGTACTTACTCCCAACCGAATTATTTTAAAATGATCTTGTATGATGTAATTTCGCTGGTGCTCAAACCTCTAGCCTGAGAGGGAACCAAATGTGGGGGTGTCCTAGGCTGTTCTGTGCAGTCATCCTGCTGCAAGGCCTCTCCCATGCTTCTATCCCCCCAGAGAAAGCAGGCTCCCTCATGTCCCCGTTCCTCATCTGGCCTCGAGACTGACGTGGGCAACTTTGGGACACTTTGGTTCTGAAGATCTTGAGACCTTCCCCACAAGACCTTGGCATCCTAATTGGATTGTGACAATAAGAGAACAGGGATTAACTACAAAGTCCCGTTTACAGACTTTAATTGAATAATACTTACTTAGTTTTCTAGACTTTTAATTAGGTAGAAAGAAGAAAACGCTACTAAAAATATATTCTCTCTTCTGCTGCACCTGTATTGACCTGTTTTCCAGGTGAATGTTTTAACTGGAAATTCTTTTGTCTTTTGGTTTGGGGGGGTGGGTTTTTTTTAGGACAGACCTCTGGAGTTTTTGTCAGATTTTCTGCTGAAGAAATGTGGTAAAGGGAGCAAGGATTTTGAAGACAACGTTATTCTGACAAAACGTGATCCAAAGGCCGCACTCGGTTTACCTCCGCAGGTAAAGTGATAGGGGCAGTTTTATGCCATTAATTCACTGTGTGGTTAGACACCTGTGGTTAAGAAATCCATAAACAAGAAGGATCATCCTACCTGGAAAGCCTTCACCTTGTCATCTCTCCTAAGAACTTCTCTTCCATGGGCTATGATAAAAAAAGGGTGCTTTGTAGATTCCTGGCAAGAGTGGCCTTCAAGCCACCTGAGGGCAGAAGCCACCTCGCCGACTGGGGTAGTGCCACTCGGGGCGGGGCGGGGGCGGGGTAGTCGGCCCCTCGCCCTGTGCCGCTCCCTCGGTGGAGCCCCGGCTCCCTCGAGAGAGACAGTGTTTTCATGTGCAGCCCATGACACTTTTGGGGGGAAACACGGCCGTGTTCTTCTTTTCTTAGTTGAGATTCCAGTTCATAAAAGGAAAACGAAAAGTGGGTTTTAAACCAGTCCTCCAAGCGAACAAGAATAATTGTGCCAGTAGTATGTTCAGAATCCAGCCATCCTTGGTTCTGTGAAATAATCGGGATTCGGGAAACACTGAAAATTGCCTTGTCATTCAGAGAGCTGGTTTCTGTGCAAATGTCATTTCCGAATCAGGGGACGCTCATAGAAAAATCACCTCTTGGATGATCAAAGGCTTGGGGACGCCACCCCCACCGCCATGGAAACTATTAGTAGGAGGAGACCTGTGAGTTCCATCAAGCAGACAAATAATTTGTTGCCCTATTAACCTGATATTCTGGAAGCCTCTGATCACACTTCTTTAGAAGATAGCACAGCGCAGGGGAGGGCGAACAAGGAGGGCTGCTGGTGGCAGGGTCCCCTCTGCCGCAGCTGCAGACTTGCCCAGCAGCATGACAGGCCTGCAGGTATGCGGGGCCACCCCTCGGACGTTACCAGAGAAGGACCCCCGCTTTAACCGGCCTCCCTGCCAAAGTGACTTATTTTTCCCAAGCACGGGCTTCCTTTCCAAGAAGAGTCCTAACACATTTCCAGGGACTTCTAAGCCCTTTTTAAGACAGAGCCCTGCTTGCCTCATGCCCCTTGCCTCATGCCTCAGTTCAGGAAACTCGCGGACCATGCACCAGTCAGGGTTCTCCAGAGAATCCGAACGAATAGGATCATTTATATATATATATATGTATCCTATTCGTTCTGGTATACTATGTATAGTATACTATATACATACCATATACTATACTATATTGTATTAATTATACTGTTATATAATATTATATAGCATATAGTATACTATATACATCGTATAGTATACTACTTATATGTGTATGTATATATACACTACTAGGATCCATATATACATGTGTAATATAGATATATACACACAGAGAGATTTGTTATAAGGAATTGGCTCACATAATTATGGAGGCTGAGAAGTCATAAGATCTGCAGGGTGAGTCTACAAGCTGGAGATACCCAGGAGAGCCAGTGGTACATTCTAGTCCAAAATCTGGCAAGCTCAAGACCCAGGAAGAGCTGATGTTTCAGTTCAAGTCCAAAGGCAGGAAAAAGCCAATGTCCCAGTTTGAAGGCTATCAGGCAGGACGAACTCTCTGTTACTTGAGGGAGGTCCAGGCTTTTCGTTCTACAGACCTTCAACTAATTGGGTGAAGCCCACCCACATTAGGGATTGCAAGCTGCATACTCAGTCTACCTATTTCAGTGTTAATCTCATCAAAAAACACCCTCACAGACACAGCCAGAGTAATTTGACCAAATGTCTGGGCACCCCATGGCCCAGTCAAATTGACACAAAATTAATCATCACAGAAAATTTCTCAGTTAGAGGTTAGCTACGCCCTCCCATCTTCTCAGTTCAGTTTCCTAAATATTTACAGGAATGAAGCACGTGCAAGGCACTGTGTTGTACCCTGGAAATAGACAACAAAATAAGACGCAGTCACTGCTCTGAGGTAGATAAGCCTGCACAGAAACAGATGACACGGATTGACTGGTGCCTCTTAGCAGGATGCGTAGGAGGGAATGGTCACGCTAAAGTGGGTATTTAATTGAGAGTCCCTTTCTGCTTCTCAGAGGCTTTTTGCCTTATTATGGCAGCTGTTATCTTTTGAGATTCGTGGGGATTAGTCTCCCAAAAAGGTGGATGTTATCTCCATCTAGCCTTCAGTCTGTGAAAGCCTTTGAAAAACAGCTCTCGGGGCTCTAGAACCACCAGCTTTCCCTTGCTTCCCTAAAGGGGATGCCCAGCATGCAACCACATCACACGGGATCCAAATTCTTCTGAAGCCCCCACAACGTCTGCATCATTACCGACTCCCTGGAAACCTTACTGGAGTTCTTCCACCCCCAGACACACAGACCCCAGAAATGTTCCTCTTTGAAGCAAGGAAACCTGAAGGAAGCAAAGGGGGACAAAAATGATCAGCACTTCCTCCTCTGAAGTGTTTCTTTTCCATTTGAAAACCTGACAATTGGCGAGAACCACTTCTGGAAACTCTGACACCTAAAAGAATGGTCACTGGGAGCATTTCCTCTCAAAGACACTTGGGTTCTTTCTTCTGGCAAATAAGATCCACATGGAATCAAGTCTTTCCAACCTGCTATTGACCTAAACATCTAATCACTTGAATAAATTAATATAGAATGTTTGGGCTTTAAGTTGCCTCACTGCTGGAAAGCAGGCCTACTAGTGTGACATCACCCACCTGTAGTAAATCCACAGAAGTGAAAGGCTCCTTAATGCCTAGGAATTTCTTTAAAAAAAAAAAAATCAAATTAGAAAAAAATATGTATTAGATTTCTTACTTGGTTTTCTATCGTTTAACACTTACGAGCTTGTGCACAAAGCCCATGAAACAAAATCAGGGACTTTCAGGAAGAAAAACTATAGCTTAAACATAGGTGCCGAATTAGGATAGAATAGAGAAACTGAGTTTCTCCACACATTGGAGTTTATTTTTTAAACGGTAGGTATCGGGGCGCCTGGGTGGCTCAGTCATTAAGCGTCTGCCTTCGGCTCAGGTCAGGATCCCAGGGTCCTGGGATGGAGCCTCACATCGTGCTCCCTGCTCGGCAGGAGGCCTGCTTCTCCCTCTCCCACCCTCCCTGCTTGTGTTCCCTCTCTCGCTCTGTCTCTCTGTCAAATAAAATCTTTAAAAATAAATAAATAAACGCTAGATATTTGTCCTGAAGGGCACACAACCTCACAGCCCTAGGAATGGAAAGTAATGGCTTCTGCTGGGAGAATTGTTTTAAAGACCCTTCCATAGGGGGATCCAGTCAAAGGGCTTGCCTGCCAAATCCGGGACCAGAGACACACACAGAGCTGTGTCTGAAGGCACGACCAGACAGGGCTCACCCTCCCTCCAGAAGGCCCAGACTCTGCCCATATATGCACATACAGATAGCTGTGTATGTGTGTCTGTCTGTCTACCTACCTACCAGCTGTCCAGTCAGATCCTACCCACCCACTACGGCCCTATCAGTACTCACTCCTGGCTTGGTGTAGCTGGACTGTTAACACTGACACTGTACAACACGGTGACAGGCCACAGCCAGAATCAGAGTTGTCCCCGAGCTCTACCTGTCATTTGCACAACTATTTCTGGCCCCTAATTCGGGAGCTGAGTGTCTTCTGGGAGAAGCATCAGCTATAACTAGGATGTATCTGGAAAAGGCAGGCAAGGTAGGAAAATTCCTACCATGTAATCAGAGGGCTCCTTCGTATGTCACGGAGAGAGACAAAGGCAAAGCCCCCCAACCCACAATAAGAGTTCCCTTACAAATGTGCCAAGTCGGTTGCTCCTGTTACTTCCTCTGAATTCATACCTGAAAACAAAATAAAGGATGGCATCTTAACCTGAAAATAGTCTAGGGGCTCCCGCGAGGCTCAGTCGGTGAAGCATCTGACTCGATTTCGGCTCAGGTCGTGATCTCAGGGTGGTGAGATCGAGCTCCGCGCTGGGCTGGAGCCTGCTTGAGATTCTCTCTCTCTGGCTCCCTGCGCCCCTCCCCGCCCTCCCTTGGGGGAAAAAAAAAAAGTCTGTACAATTTCCAAAAACTAGATGGATGGTATGCAATGAGAAAACTTGGTATTTTTAGATTCAAACAAAATTACCTTGCCAAATCCATTTCCTATCCACAAATAAAAGTTTATCTCTAATAAAAATGGCTGTTGCTGAGCCAGAGGTGAGCGGAAGCCCCGGGGTGAGTGGGCAGGCTCCCCATAACCGGGGTGGCCCAGGGGGCCGCGCCAGCCCCTGAATCGTAACGTAATGCAGTGCGGTTTGCGTTCTCTCCGTCTTGGGCCAGTTTGAATTTAATTTTCGTTTTATGTCTGCAGCCCCTTCCACCTGTAGGAGAAGTTCTTCCTAGCTGTAGAACTGCCAGTGTTGCCACTGCCTGCTTGAAGTTCCCAGGTGTCCACAAATAACCAGCACTAGTACCGATTCTGAAAGAAGAGAGTGTGCCCCCTTCTTAGAAACTCTGAACGGTTTCGTCAAAATTCACAGTAGATCCCCGCCGCCCCCTGCCCCCAGCACGAGCCTCGGGGCGTGCCAGGCTGATCGGGGCAGCCAGAAATGGGGAAGGGAAGAGAAACGGTGCGAGGACTGGGGCAGGGGCCAAGTGCTGCAGCTCAGGGGGGGCCTCCTGCAAACCGGGGAGAAGCCAGCCCGCCGCGCCGGGGACCGCGCCTCCCATACAAAGGCTTCAGGCAGCCATAAAGAACGGCTGCAGAGGGCGCCTGGGTGGCTCAGTCGGTTGGGCGACTGCCTTCGGCTCAGGTCACGATCCTGGAGTCCCGGGATCGAGTCCCGCATCGGGCTCCCTGCTCGGCGGGGAGTCTGCTTCTCCCTCTGACCCTCCTCCCTCTCATGTGCTCTCTCTCTCTCATTCTCTCTGTATCAAATAAATAAATAAAATCTTAAAAAAAAAAAAAAGAACGGCTGCAGATACAAAATAAAAATTCCATTCGGCCTGAGGAGAGCAAGGCAGAACAAAAACGTCTTGGTTATAAATTGACGTTTTTCTTCCAGTCTCACCCTTAGCTCTCAAGGGGTTCCCATGAGTAGTTTTATCTTCGACTGGAAAAGGCAGCCGTGGTGAGCAGGCATCATCCATCCGCTCTCACCACAAACGCGGGGCCATTGTTCCATTGTTAGAATGGACCCTGTAAGCAGCAGGTGGGACTTTTTTTTTTGAGAGAGAGAGCGGAGGAGTGGGGGGAAAGAGAGAGAGAGGAGAGAGAAAATCTTAAGCAGGCTCCATGCCCAGCACAGAGCCTGACATGGGGCTCCATCTCACGACCCTGAGATCATGACCTGAGCGGAAACCAAGAGTCAGTGGCTTAACCGACTGAGCCACCCAGGCGCCCCAGGACTATTTTTTTCTAATGTGCTAATTTATATGGAAGCCACAAGAACAACTCACAAGGAAAGTGAAGAAAGAATAAGCTATATTTAAATGTGGAAATAGGTCTAGAGAGAGCATGTGAACTGTTTCTGACCCATTTTCATTAGATAAAAAAAGGGGTGGATTTTACAAAGTGCTGTGAGCTTTTTCTTCTGGCAGTTTCAAAAGTAAGATGAGCCATTTGCCCTCAGCTGACAAGGGACAGAGCAGAATGAGGCAGAAGCCTGGAATGTGTGGGATTCCTTGAGTGTCAGTCCCCTGCCTCCCAGGGGGAAAAGGGGGCTGTCCTGAATTTCATTTCTCAAGTATCATGCAGTTCTTAGGAAGCGAAAGGTTATTATTATTTTTTAACATAAAATTTAATTTAAGAGAGGCATCACATGTGTCAAGTGCTTTGTTCATTGTGTGCGGGGTACCGTGTGGTTGAGGCTGAGGGCAGACAGCTACTGGAGACCTCCTGTGGGCACAGCACCCACTGGGCATTCAGACAGCCCAAGGCCTGCCCCCAGATAATCAAGTCTGCCTTGAATCCTCAGGAAAGAAATGTTCTAGAAGACAACCCTCAGGATACAAAATCAAGTCTCAGCAAAAACGATCCAAATTTGGAGATGCTGGTTAAGCTGGTAAGCCAATCACTACACAGTAAGAATTTTCCATTTGTTTTGCTCTTGACCAAAAAAAAAAAAAAAAAAAAAAGGCTTCAGTCTTTATTCTGGTTAGTCCTTTTTTTCTTGAAAGTTTCCCTTAAGGGAAATAAAAAAAACACAAACCTCTAAATATAATTGAGGGGGGAATCCAACGGGTAGATTTTTCTTTTTTGAGTAAGCCCAGGTCTGAAAAGAAGTCAAACCAAGAGGATGGAAATGTAACATCTTGGGAACAAGAGCCATCTTGGTGCTACTCTGATTTTCTAATGTGACATGAGGACAGAATTTAAAGAAATGGCCCATGCACATAAAGGGTCTGACCCACCAACTGGTGGTCTGATTTCAAAGGCTGAGTATGATCAATATAACTTTCTGTTTGCAAAGGGTAGCGCAGACCAGCAGAGGCGTGGTCCTGTCTGGCCCTAACACGTTCGTGAATTCATCATCGTATTTTCGTTTTCAGAATCCTTTCAGGTAGACATTAGCAACCACATTTTGTAGATGAGGAACTCAAGTTAGAACACTTTAAATGACTTCCCTAAGGTCAGACAGCCAGGGGAGAAAGATACCTGAAGCCCCAGGTCTGAAGCTCAGTCCTGGGGCTCCTTCCCAGCCCCTCCACACGCTAGGCAAATCCACCTGCTGCGTGCAGTGCAGGTGTGGACCTCGCGGCCTGGGCGCCCGCACACCCTCAGATCCACCCCCAGGAATCACCAAGGACGAGGGGGTTTAGGTCGGGCCGTGAATATGATAATGTCTCGTCTCACTGGCGGTCATAACACCTGACATTGGTTTGAAGATAACAACGAAAGGTTTGACAACTGAAACCTTAATTCAAAATGATTATAAACATTGGAAAACTCCAATATTTAAAAAAAATTTATGCATAAAAATGTAATTTGGGCTCCAAGCCAGCAGCCAGGTGGGATACAAATGTATTTTTTTTTTAACACATTAGGTAAAACTTAACCAAGAACAGTGTGTTTATAGTATTTCATAGAGTGAGTTTTCTGTTTTTTCTCTTAAATTACTTTTACATTTTAATTTTAGCTCATGAAGTCATGGTTGATTTGTTTTGGGTGAAGGTCACATGGTGTTACACTTAGTATTGTCATATTTTATTTGGGGCACTATGGGGCATATTTAGGGCTGAAGGGAAAAGAAGAAATTTTGTTCTAAGAGTATTAATAGTTCTAAGCTCAAATACAAGGCCATTAAAATTTTTAAATTTAAATATTATAATTGTTTTCTAGATATTCATTCTAGACACTCGTTTTTCAACCTTTGAAAAATACAGATAAAGAAAAAGAATTACCTAGTCCCAGTACTGAAAATTCATTTCTCCATGTGTCTCCATAGCATACATAATAATAGGGTGAGGAGCTTCTTTACACCAGTGTATGATTTTTCCCTCTGCATTAAAGGATAAAACAGGACTTTGAAATATAGAAAACAGGACCTTTAGCCACCTAGCCGAATGCATTCACAGTTCCATGTTAGGGTCCTTTTTCCTAAATGTGGAAAGAAGAGCTTGAGTTTAGGGTTTCATAAATGCCTGTGAGAAGCAGATTAGTTGATGAGGAGAGGGCTAGCTCATTTCAGTTCTTCTGTCTGCAGGATAATCAATAAAACACTATAAATCAATCTGTAAAACACTGAGGAAGAAGAAATAGCAATCAAGAGTGGGCAACCCAAAGGCTTCCACAGTGGACCGTCATTCCCATGAAGGCAAGACTGTCCTCCTACCACTGTGTAGTCAGCACCAAGCCCATGTCACTGAATACGTATTGGGGTGGATAGACGGATAAACATCGGGCCTCAATCTGCCCTCCTCAAGATCCAAGACTAAAAGCCCCATCTCTGCTAGGGCATGAGGCTGGCCTGATGTGAGGGCCTCATTGGTTCCAGTGTGTCAAGCAGTGGCCAGCAGGGTCCACCACAGTCCCCTGTCAAGGTCCCCTTCAACCGTGTTTAGCGCAAATCCCAAAGAGGGACTCTCACAGAGTCACTGCCTGACTGTTGAGCCGGTCATTTCTCTACCTTCTTTGACTTTCAGGCTCTTTGAGGCTGTAAACCGGGGGTCATTCTGCTTTCCCTATGAGTTCTTAATGCCTTTCTACAGGAGAGAAAGCTCCAGATGGACTCAGCTGAAAAGCGATCGAGAGTTGTCGGGGAACTCTTGGAGAGCGAGAGAAAATACGTGCAGATGCTGGAAATTGTGAGAGACGTCTATGTAACGCCCCTGAAAGCAGCGTTGTCATCCAACAGAGCGATTCTCAGTGCTGCAAGCATCCACATCATTTTCTCTGATATTTTGCAGATTTTAAATCTCAACAGGTAAACTCTGAAGAGGTATTTTTTCAAATATGCATTATGCCGTCGGAAGAACCCACACCTAACTGTTTCAAACGTTGTGCCGAGGAGCCCCTTCCCGGAGCCCCTGATCGTCTCACGGGAGAGGGCTCTTGCCACCACCGTGCCCAGGGGCTTGCCCCTGCCTCATTTCCACGCCCCGGTTCCAGGAGTGGAGCTCGGGGCCTGGGGGTCCTGTGTTGCGTGTACTGTTCACACAAAGGCAAGAGGAAGGAGAGCTGTCGGGCACCGTTCTTGATCAGCAGGGTCTGGCTGAGCGAAGGGAACGAAAACAAAGGGTTTCATGGGATCGGGTCACTAGGATACTGGGCTTAGGGAACCGGGCTGGGGGCCAGCTGAATGACAGTACAGTTTCAAGTATGCCCGTCGACACAGGAAAGTGATCATGTGTGCGGACGACACAGACTGAGCCGCTCCGCCAGTAACTCTCCGGGTAACTCGGAAGCTCCTCACCCCCACTGGGCCCCAGCTGCTACAAAAGGAGGGGATTAAACTAGGCCTTTTCCCAGCTTCGAGGCCTGTGACGGCTGAACGATGAACAACGCTAGGTCTGCAGCAGAGGGCCAATCGGGAGGTAGGCATTCGAAGCGAGTGGAGCACTCTCCTCTGGGGACTCGAAGAAACCTTCCCCGCCTGCCTGGCTGGCCACATGGAGTGGGACAGTCAGGGGACAGCACTGTGGAGGCCAGCCTAGGGCTCCCACTTGGGGGATTAAGAGGAAGAGGCGAGATTCCACTGGAGTCAACCTACTTCCTCACACCCCTGCCCCTCCTCCTTTCTGGGCAAATCTGCCCTCTCTGTGTCAAGGCAAACAGATGTGACAAAAGCCCTGCCAGGCTGCACTAATGACAACTAATTTATTTTTATTTTTTAAGTTTCTAGGTTATCCCCGGCCAGTATTTCACAGGCATGCTTTTCTCCTATGGCAGGCAGTTTCTAGACAACCTGAGAGACAGACTGCAGGAATGGGGCCCAGCCCACTGCGTGGGAGAAATATTCCTCAAGTTTGGAAGCCGGTTGAACACATACACCAATTTCTTCAACAATTACCCGGTTGTTCTGAGAACTATGGAGAAGGTAATGATTGAGTTACCATCCAGGCATGAATGAGACTTTCTGAGCTTGAAAGGAAGTTTTGTGTGCAATCCAAAGGACTAGGATTAACAGGAAAGACTTCTTCCCTACTCTTAGCTTCCAGCTGACTGGGAGCTCTTTGAGGACGGGGCCCCTGACTTACTTATTTGTGTATCACTAAGGGTTAACACAGTGCTTGATACACAGGACCCAGGGACTGGTTGTTGGACTGAACTAATCATGCAAATGGCCGGGCTTTCATCTAGCTGCCCCAGATACTCTGTGGTTCAGTTACAGAAAAATGTTTCACAGCGAGGGAGAAACAACACTGAGAACCCTGATTCTGCTCTGCCAACTCACTGCTCTGTGGCCTTGACAAGTTTGACTCTTTTCCAGAGAAAAGGAATTAATAATCCATATGTTTCTTGGAATAAGGACACTCATTTGTGAAAGCTCACCATGAACTAAGGATTTCTTTGTCTTGAATTCCTTTGAGAGTTCATGATAAACAATTTTTCCCTTCGTGACCTAAGCTGTATGCAGTGTGGGCTGGAATATTCAGCTCCCTTCTGCGTCACTCGCTGCTCTTGCCGGCTGTCTTCTGATGGCAGTGAGCTCTCTCTTTCTTTCCTCTTCAATTTACATCAAAAGGGCAGCAGAAGACGGTCCCTTGCACTTCTGCTAGTGTCTCCTATATTCACTTTGGCTGCGTCCACCTGTCCGTACTGAGGCCCTGAGAGCAAGGCCTGGGGGCTGGGAGGCCTCTGGACACGTCCTGACCTCAGACCTCTCCCTTTGTAGTATCATTCTTGCCTCATGGAGGGAGCTTAAATACTGCCAGACAACTGGATTATGTGAAAGTTGCATGAATAAGGCAGTTTCAGAGAACCAACCTTTAGGACAAGGATGGGACCAACGTGTCACGTGATATCATAAATTGATACCAAAATTGTTATAGTTAGGGATAATAATGATATCTATTTCACTGGCATGGGGTGTGCAGATAAATAGTCAGTAAACATTAGCTGTTAATAAGTACACCCAGTGAATATTTGATGCATTTCTGGCATCTTTGAGGCACGTATGTACTGAGAAAAATGAGGTCACTTCCTGAGGGCTCTAATGGTGATGAATGAACACATTTTAAAACAGATATTTAGCACAGTGGAGCCCCTTTATGATGTTACTACGGAAAACATAGTTAACAACAGTATTACAGTGGATACTATTAATAGCTTATTACTGTGGAGATAGCATTTACTGCCTGGCAAGCACTTTATGGATAGGATTTTCCCCCTCATCACCACAAGAGTTAGGTAAGGTAATCCATGCAAGAGCTGAGGCTCAGAGAAGTTAAATAACTTGACAGGGTCACATAGAATTAGATAGAATTAAATTAGAATTTTAACGTTAATCCAGGCCTACCTGGTTGCAAAGTCTATTTTGTCTATACTGATTAAGTTCACGGAATAGGGTTACCTTATGATATAATTAATACACTGTACTTAGTAGACTAGTAAGCACCGAAAGTACTAGTCATGCTTTGGTTAGATGTAGTTGTTGCCCCTTCTGCTTTGAGTGCATCATAGACCATGCTTGTCTGGTGGAACAGAAGTCTCTTCAGCCATATTATACAGCAAAATTTTGACATAATGCTCACCTTTAGTGCAGAGAAATGATACCAGCATTCCGAGCTTTCCTGAAGAGACATGATAAGACCATTGTGACCAAAATGCTGAGGTAAGTTCTGAGGGAGTGCACAGTGGGGCGCCCCAAGGACAGGGCACACTTTGACCTTCAGAGAGCGACCAGGGTTTCCTTTTCCCTGCCTCATACAGCCTCCCGGAGCTGCTTTTGTACCCATCACGAAGATTTGAAGAATATGTTAATCTTCTCTACGCACTGAGGCTTCACACTCCCGCAGAACACGCTGACCGTGGGGACGTGACCACTGCAATTGACCGACTCAAAAAATATAAAAGTTATATAGATCAGGTTGGTTGCTGATAAGAGTTCGTGTCTTTTACAAATGTTACAATGCTTTGTGGTACTGACTCAAAGATCCTGAAATACCTTATCCTTTCGTGGTGTTCTTCAAAGTCTTTCCTCCTTTTAATGTGAAATCATTGGGCTCTGATTTTGAGCACTAAGAGGCTCTATTCTGAGCCAAACAACATGAGAGAGAATGTTTTCAGAGATCTGGATAAGTGCCATAAAACTTTTATTAATATGAAAGTTTGAAGAATTGAATATTTGGATTGATTTTTCTAGATAACTAAAAGAAAAAAAGTAAAATTGTTAACTTATCTGCCTCGGTAAGTATAGCAATCATAATTATTCTCTGAAAGAATTCAGCATCTTGGAAGACAGTACTATCGTTCTGAAAATATTGTTGTGATGTGCATATTACATGGGCATCCAGGCTGAATGTGAACTGAAAACTTATTTTGCCCTGAAGATACTTTGTGAATACAGTCTTGTCACTTGCCTCTTTGTTTTTAGAACACTGGGGACACGAAACTGAGATTTTCTAAAGTTTATCAAAATACTGAGCCCTGTATCAAGTGCCATAAAATATTTTAATCTATTTTTATGTATAAAAACTTCACAATTTTTGTTTGCCTAAAATCCCTTTGTTTACTAGATGAAGCAAAACATCAGTATGAAAGATCAGCTGTCAGAAATACAGAGAATCGTCTGGGGATGCCCGGTACGTATTCTGACATGCTCACTACATCTCATGCTCATGAATATAACCTCAAGTTACTGGCAAAAGGAGACATGCAGATTTTGATTCCGCTGACGTCTGTTGAATGCCCGCCACGTGCCATGTGCTGGCAAGCTTCCACATTTCACATCCTGCCTAGTTGTAAGGGTGCATAATGAGAAGAGGCACAAGGGGACTTGACCCCATCCCATTACTTTTCTACAGTCTTAGCTCCTTGACTGGTGCTTCTGTGAACATGACCTCCTTTGGGGAAAGGGGCCATGTCTTCTATTGTTTTATATCTTCCTGTACATAATGCCTGGTGTAGGATTCTGTGCCCTGAGGATATCTGAAAAAAATCTTAGGAGTCCTCTGTTGGTTGTTACCTATAGAATATCATCTGGTCCCAGTCTACCTTCTCTCTCACTGCCTTGCCTACCACTTCATGATCAAATCACACAAATCTACTCATAGTGCTCCAATAATGTTAGCCTTTCTCTACACATTTGACCTTTGCCCACGCTTTCCTTCTCTGAAATTGCCTTCCTTTCCCACTCCACTGGATAAACTATTCATCCTTTAAAAATCCAGTTCAATCATCATCTTCCTTGTAAAGTTTCCCCAACATCTCCAGCTGTGAGTCCCCCCACCCCCATCTTGGGTATCCTGCAGCACCCTGAACATCTCTGTCACACTTTTTTATGACCCTTAGTTCATAAGACTGAGAACTCCATCAGGCATGAGCTACGACTTACTTGTCCTCTGATGTTTAGCGTATAGTAGGAGCTCGATATATGAATTATGTTGAATTAAAGTGCCAATTGATTGGAAACATTTTTATTTGGTCAAATTGGGGAAACAAGATGGAGCTGTTTTGTTAGAATTTAGATCTGCACATTTTGGTAGGGAGAGTGGAGTTGATTGGATTACCAAAAGTCCAAAATCTTGCAACTCACAGAGTCTGAACTTATCTCTGGATCACTGTTCACACTAAGTGATCATCTCATGGCTAGATTGGTAAAAGTGTCTAACTTCTGAATTTTTAACAATCCATTCACTTCCTTTTCTTCATAAATCCCTTCTTACCTGCTCCCATCCCCTCTTTTTTTTTTTTAAATACTAGGAAAGCTTTTAAAGCATTTATAAATAAAACAGTAATTTCAGTAGTTTTAAAAATTATACAACACCTTCAAATATAGTTTTCACATGAATTCTGTGGTCTTTCTAAAGAAAACCTCTTCTGTCAATAATAAAAACATTCATTTTTTCATAATTAAACTGAGTTTTACTCAACACAGCTTCTGGGGTATAAAACAGTTCTGCAGTAGTGGACTTTTTATTTTCTACAAATTTATGAATGTTTCTAATTTTGTTTTTGGTTTCATAGACTCTATCAGAAGAAAACAGATATCTGATTAGGGTCCAAGATGTAGCCCAACTTCACTGCTGTGATGAGGCAGTAAGTTTCTCTTTAAGGTAAACACTTAACTATCCTATGGCTGTGACTATGTCTTGCTCATCTTGTACCTGGGATCCGGTACAGTGTTTGACACAAGTCTGCAACAAATATTTGTATTGGACCGAAAACTTAAACATACATTCCCCTGCAGTACTATAAGGTGCTTTATTACCATACTCACATTCCAGGCAGCTACTGGATAGAATGGGAGAAAATACGTTATCTCTGCCAGAACCACAAACTGCAGAGTAGCAGGAATTCTGAGGTTGGTCACTTTCCTACTGAAAGGAAATCCAAGAGTTGTGGGTATCACGTTAGTGATCTGCTCACCTATAACAAAAGAGAAGACCAGTTAATTATCTTGGTAGTTATTGAGGTTAGTATTAAAAAGGTTTCACCAAGAGACCATCATTATATTGAGGTCTTACCATATCTGTTTTGCACAGTGCTTACAGTAGTGTTAAGACCAAAAGATGGGAGGGTGCCAATTCCCATAAGCTAGCATCTCCTTTCCTCTTTTAGAACAAGGATGGGCAAACTTTTTTCTGGAAAGGGTCAGATCGTAAATATCCTAGGTCTTGTTGGCCAGATGATTTTTGTGGCAACTACTAAATTCATCATTATAGCATAAAAACAGCAACATAATGATACAACACATGAATGATACAATCTGCATAAACAATACAGTGCATAAATGAGGGAGCATGGCTGAGTTACAGTAAAACTTTATTTACAAAACAAGTGGTGGGGCCATAATTTGCTGATACCTATGTTGGAAAATTATTTGCAGAACTGTGTTCTCAGTATTAATGGCAAAGATGACAACTCAACAAATAGTAACCAAATGGAGAGAAATCAACTCCTTTAATTCTTCCAACTCCAATAAAAGAAATAAAAATTGATTTGCCTCTTATTTCAATGAATATTTCAATGAATGTTTCCCAAAGGTGTAAGTCAGGGGCGTGATTGGAAGAAATCCAAAGCTTTCACCTCTATTCTTGCCTAGAGTGGTTCTAAATGAAAATCAAATCATGTAATTGTGTTATTTTTCTCACGATCACAGTGTTTTTTGTTTTCTTTGTTTTGTTGTTTTTGTTCAAAAGCAACAGAAATGAACTGCAGTGATGGAAGGAAACTACTTATCAAACCAGCAATTCTAAACACGCTGGTGTGGTAGGAGACATGCTAGGGATTATTCCAGTTTTTTATTATTAGAATTTATTTTACCTTCATGTATTCATAAAGGTAACACTCTCCTTTTATGTAAGTCTGAGTTTCTGACCTACATAATTTACCTTTTCTCTAAAGAATTTCTTTTAACATTTCTTGCTAAGCAGGTTTACTGGCAATGAATTTCCTCGATTTTTGTCTGAGAGTCTTTATTTCTCTTTCACTTGAAGGATAATTTTGTTGGCTACAGAATTCTGGGTTGCTGGGTTCTTTTCTTTCAACATTTATTCTACTCTACTCTCTTCTAGCTTGCCTGGTTTCTGAGGAGACATCCAATGTAATTCTTATTCTTGTTCTTCTTTGGTAGGGTTTTGTTTTGTTTTTGTTCTTTGGGTTCTTTTAAGATTTTATCTTTGATTTTCTGGAGTTTGAATGTAATATGCCCTAGGTGTAGATTTTTTGGTATTCACCCTGCTTGGTATTCTCTAAGCTTCCTGGATCTGTGGTTTGGAATCTGTCAATAATTTTAGAAAATTCTCAGCCATTATCACTTCAAGTATTTTTTTTGTTTCTTTCTCTTTGTTCTCCGTGTGATACTCCCATTAGACAGATGTACACATTTTTTGGGTAACCTGTTCCTTTCTTTTTCAGTCATTTTTTTCTCTTTGCTTTTCAATTTGGTAAGCTTCTATTGATGTATCTTCAGGCTCATTGATTCTTCCCTCGGCTATGTCCAGTCTGCTATTGAGCACATCAAAGGCATTATTCATTTCCATTTCAGTGTTTTTAATTTCTACAGTTTCTTTTTCATTCTTTCTTAGAGTTTTCATTTCTTTGTTTTTATTACCAATTTGTTCTTTTGTTGCATGTTGTCTACTTTTTTCATTAGAGTCCTTGACTTATTTATTATAAATATTTTAAATTCCTTGTCTAATAATTCCAAAAACATCCCTGCCATATAAGTCTGGTTCTGATGTTTGCTTTATCAAACTGTTCTCTTTCCTCTTAGCATGACTTTTAATTTTTTGCTGAAAGCTAGACATAATGTATTAGGTAAAAGGAACTGAGGTAAATGGGTCTTCAGTGTGAGGTTTTATGTTTATAGGGCTAGATGTTAGCCTGTGTTTACTGTTTGTTGTATCTGTGGTGTCAGAGGCTACAATTTATTTTGGTGTTCTTTTTTGTCCCCCCTGTTGTCACTGAGTTTCCCTAGAGATCCCTTAAATAGGGTTTGAGGCTTCTAGTTCTTTTTAGCTGTGATCACTGGTCATTATAAGGAATTCTTATTGATGTGATATCAAAGGGGAAGGAAGGAGAAGGGAAGAGTTCTATAGTTTCATGGTTGGGTCTTAGTTTTTTAGTGAGCTGTGCCCTGAGCTAGGACTTTCACAGTGTTTTTTCAGTCATTTTTGTTTGTTGTTTTGTTTCCTTTCATTTTTGTACCTCTAAAAGGCAGGAAGCCTGGAAGGGGCTGGAGGTAGGTGTTTCCCCTCCCCCATATTGGTTAGATTCTGGTAAAATAGTTTCTCTTGAGGGAAGTCCTTTGGTAAGGAGAAGAGAACTCTTCAGTCACATTTCAAAAAAAGTTACCTCCCCCCCACTTTCTGGTCTGAAATCAGGAAGAATGAAGACATTTTTCTTTGATCTTCACAGTGAGAACCTGGTGGGGCTCCTGGAAGTAAAACACATGCAAATTTTAAATTCATGCAAGTGGGGAGAGAATGTTCCCCTAAGGCTAGGCTTCTAGGGGTTCTTAATATCTTAAAACTAGTTCACTGCTCCAGCAGGGAGTTTCTGCCTCCAGTAAGCTGTGTTTCTCTGTTCAGTGTGTCTCTCCAGCTTTTGGGGTTCTGGTTTACCTTGTGACCGTAATTCTCTGATGGATCAAAGAAGAGCTGTTGAAGTTTTTCAGCTTCTTTTTTGTTGTGAGGATGGAAGTTAGGACTTGCAAGCTCTTTACATGTCCAACCAGAAGCCAGATGGCTCAGTTATTAGAATTTAGGCTTGACTTCAGTATTTGGACAACAGAGAATACACTTAACAATTTGAGGATCATGGGAGAATACTAAATTATTTTACACTCTAATTATGAGGTACATTTATGTTAAAATCTCAGTGATTTGTCAAGCAGTAAATGTAAATGGAACTTTACATTAACATTTAAAATTAAGTAAATGCAAGATAGGTTCATATTTGAAAAGGTATTATAGAATTTTTAGTCTGCAACTTTGTTTTCTATCATTTTGGAAAGTCAGATAAAACTCAAGAAATCCCACTCCTATGACTTCCATTAGGGATTTCTACTCAGAGAAAACTCTGCTTATATTTATACATAAAATGCTGACTAACATGAGTATAAGGCTTTATAATTTACCATATTTTTTATTAATGCTTTTTACTTATTTATTTATTGTAATAATTTCTACACCCACCGTGGGGCTCAAACTCACAACCCCGAGGTCAAGAGTTACATGCTCTTCCAACTGAGCCAGCCAGGGGCCCCTACCATATTCTTTACATTCCCTCATTTGATACACTCATTACAATCACTTGCTGAGGCAAGTAGGTCTGGAACCATGTTATGGGTGGGAATCTGGATTTAAGTAAGTTGTCTGAGGCCACAGAATAAGTTCTGGTCTGAAATTCAAAACCAAGTCTCAGTGCTCTATCTACTGATTAGACCAGCAGGTGGAAAGATGAACTGAGACTTCCTCATAATAAATTTACCAACCGAGCAGCAAGTACTAAACACATTACTAATAAACAAGAGCTGTGACACGGAAAAAAACAAGTCAATATTTGCACTGTAAATGAAAAAATTTCCTCTGGGGTAGAGATGAAGTCATAGGGTCATTTAGAGCTGGGAAATTTGAACGTATTTGTCCCTCTGTTAATATAGCCCACAGAATTTGGGGATATGTTAAGCTTTGATAATATATTACATAATTTGGAACTTCTATTAATATCGTTCTTCCAGAAACACCAGTTCTCATTGATGTGACTTTCAGCCTGCTGGTTTTTAAATAGGCTTTTGTTGTTGTTCCTCCTTTCCTCACTCGATGCAGAGGCGACAAAAGGTGGAGCCCTCTAGGACTGGTGAACAGTGGCATGGCCTTGAATCACCAAAGGGAGACATCCACTTCTCAGACCAAGTCCTCTTGAGGAAAAACCCTATTCCACTGCCAAAAATGCATACTGTAAACTTTCTTTTTGCCTTACCCAAAGGGACCTACAGTTGGTTACCGGGGCAGCCTCCCAGGGATACTGGACTCTGGCTCTGAATTGACTCTTAGCCTGGCAACTCCGAAAGCCACTGTACTCCTTAGGTCAGAGTGTGGATGTTTAGGAGCTACAGTTTTGGCTCAGGGCAGCTCAGAGAACCTATGGCTTGCTGTTGTCTGCTCATGCCTAACGTTGTAAAATTCCTTTCAAGGTTTTATGTATTTATAGAAGTTGGGTACTTCATCATTTTGGCAGTCTGATACAATAAACAACAATAAAACACTTCTAGAATGATGTTAGGAATTTAAACTATAATAGACCTATTACATTTTGTTGAGTTATTTGACCTATTTCTGAACAAGAAAAGAAATCCTATCCGACCAAGTTCAGGGAAAAAAAACTCTACCCTTGGAGTTGGTTCTTTTGAATGAGCAGAAGTAGCTTTCTGAAACCTTATTAGGATCCATAGTTTCCACTTCAGTTGCTCTATTATGTCAATATGAGAGGTGAAATTACTTACTTTTACATATGTAGAGGAATTATTAATTTTTTAAAAAAAGGTTCTGGTGTTCCTTGTCTTTGGATGAAAATTGTTGGAGATCTCGAGGGGATTTATTTAAAAGATTTTTATCCACTCATTTTAGAGAGGGAGAGAGAGAGAGAGAGAGAGAGAGTGAGCAGTGGGAGGAACAGAGGGAGAGGGACAAGCGAACTCCACGCTGAGCCTGACGCAGGGCTGAATACCACAACCCTGAGATCATGATCTGAGCCAAAATCAAGAGTGCGACGTTTAATTGACTGAATCACCCAGGAGCCCCTGGAGGGGCTTAACTTAGTAAATGGCTTTTGAAAACCATTTTTCTAGATAGAACTTAGATTTATTTTAGATAGCATTCTCATAATCAGATCGAAATAATGAAAACCTCTGTGTGTTTTCAAGCCTCTTCCCCTGCTCCTGTCCTCTGATTACAAGTGGCCTCAACTTTGAGTTAATCTGCCCTTCCCTGGGCCAACCACCCGCTTGCTCTGCGTGGGTCACAAAACTGGGATTCTTTGATTTACCTCTACTCTGTTACACCTTCCAAAAGAAAAAAAATTATTCTTTACCTTTCAAAACCACTTCTCTAAAGCAAACCTGTATGCACATTCTCTGATAATTCAGATAAAACAGCAATATTTTATTATAGCTTTGAACATTTTTCTAAACTGGTATGATAGGAGAAATAATTGTTCTCATAAGTAATGTGGTAAAATTGCCAAAAAAGGGCAAGAATATGGACGGGAGTGGCCATTTACACATATAGACCATTACACACAGATTGAAATATCTCCCTTCTTGCTGCCTTTCTTTCTCATCCCTAGTTCTGTATGCACCATTTTTGTCAGAATACCCTATCAACTTGATCTAGAATATTGTTTCTTGCAAGATGTCAGTATATGTGAAGCATCCCACTCCTTCCAGCCTAAATCATAACCACATAGAGATGGGAAGGAAATGCACGAAAAAGGAAAAGGTGGCTGTAGAGGCTGGGTGACCACTGCCTTTCTAATTATCCACACACCTAACACAGCTGGTACCTGCTCCGAATAGCTGAACCTGAAATATAGTACTCCTCAAAAACGTTTAAGTCCTGGATCCAGTCCTTTGCCTAGCATGACATGGTTGTAACAGATGATTTAAATGCCTCACTCCTCAAAATGTGGTCTGCACATCAGCATTGTCAGGGAGCTATTAGAGATGCAGAAAACCTCAGGCTACTCTAGTTCTACTGCATCAAAATTTGCATTTAAAAAAAAATCTCCAGGTAATTTAGAGGGACATTAGAGTTTGTACTATGTACAAGTCAGAGCCATTATCATACATAAAGTGGACTCTAAATGGTAATTATGGCAGGTTTTAAGGATAGTCATCTGGAGGTTTTTGATAAAAATACATAAAACATTTGACCAATCAGTCCTACCCCCCAGAAGCCTATCTGATAGAAATAACAACACGTGTAAGGGATTTGATTATAGATAAAGATCAGTTTATTCGAACATTGCCCATAGTGGCCATAAAGAACTAATTAAAGGAAGGAGAGAGAAAGGGAGAAGGGAGGAAAGAGACCCAAGCCCGTAAACAAACCCAGTGGGCATCAAAATGGGAAGAGTTGAATAAATGATGATCTACACACACCATAAAGTATTATTTGGCCACTAAAAAAGAATAAATTAAAGCAGCACCTGGGTGGCTCAGTCGGTTAAGCATCTGACTCTTGATTTCAGCTCAGGTCATGATCTCAGGGTCCTGGGATCAAGCCCTGCATCAAACTCCATGCACAGTGTAGGGTCTGCTGGAGATTCTCTCTCTCTCTGCCCCTCCCATCACGTTCTCGCTTTCAAATAAAAGAATCTTAAAAAATAAATAAAGCCATACCAGTTAACTTGAAGTGATTTCCACTGCTAAGCGAGAAAAGCAGAAAAAAAAGTGTGGACGTTACCATTTTTGTAAAATAATGGCAACCTACCTGTAAATAGATGTGTATACATGTACATATGTGTGTGATTACCTGAGCAAGTAAGAAAACAAGGACAGACAGTTACTAGTTTGGTAACTTGGGTGGCCTGAGTGCAGGGAGGAGGGAGCCAAGCAAAAAGAAAAAGTGAAACAAAAAAGGACACTTAATAAAGCCGGTGGTATGGATTGATGCCACTTTAGCATTTATGTAAAAGTTTATGTAGATTTAAATTGACAATTTAAAAAATAAACAAAGATAGTGAAGATAAAAAATGAGACTTCCTCTGTTCATCAAGCTAGTAAATGGACTCCCTTCCTTAGAGTAACTGAGGGTTGCTTGATGCTTCTAGAGAAAAAATGTTTGGTTACCCTACAATAAAACACTGAGCTAGCGGGCGCCTGGGTGGCTCAGTTGGTTAAGCGGCTGCCTTCGGCTCAGGTCATGATCCTGGAGTCCCTGGATCGAGTCCCGCATCGGGCTCCCTGCTCGGCGGGGAGTCTGCTTCTCCCTCTGGCCCTCCCCCCTCTCATGTGCTCTCTCTCATTCTCTCTCTCGCAAATAAATAAATAAAATCTTTAAAACAAACAAACAAACAAAAACCACTGAGCTAGCTTCACTTAGCCACTCCTGGTGTGGGGGGAGGGGGGTTGAGGACACTGCAGGGGGTCGGGGAGGGCTCCCCTAGCTCCTCCCCAACATGTTGCCTGACTGCCTGGTGAGTACTCACACAAGCAAACCCATACTAGAGTACATTGGCGCCTATCAAGCAGGAGACCCGGCTCCAGCTACACAGCAGCCTAGAGGGTAATCGATGGAGGTTGAGGGCACGACATTTTGCCTGCTGATAAACATGCCTCAGTTGACCATCATAGCAATCTCAGTGAAAATGAAGAGCTACTTCTCACCTTTCATACTGATGAAGTGTATTATCTGTTGATTTCCCTCCAACCAAAATTAGAAAAATTCTAATTTCCTACCTAGTTCCTTCAACCTTCAGTTAAATGCTTTTCTTTTCCCTGCTTTGTACTTAAGATACCTTGGGCCATATTGGTTCTTGTGCTTTTCTCTACCCCAACCTGTTACACTGAAGATGAAACCAAACCAAACCAAACTTACTTTCCCCAGATTGCCCAAATACATCAGATACAAAATACCACACTTGGTTTAACACAGCTCTAGCATAATTCATGTTGTAAAGGAGGAAAAGTTCAATGTCTCTTTCCCCCACAGCTTGTCCAGTGGGTAAGTTCAAACCATTCCACCAGGAACCTTGAGGCCCACACACAGCAGTGGGCTGAGAGACAGAGGGAGTATTCACACCAGGAGAAAAACCACTGAGAACTCCAATGAGCCATTCCAACCTGTCTGTAGTGGGCAAAGGCCTCAACTATTGGCTTATCAATGCAAAGATGGTGACTTGTGTAACAAAGTATGTCCATGTAACCCTTCTCCACTTTAACACAGGCTCTATGAACACACCCGTGACCTCAGTCTTTTCCTCTTCAACGATGCACTGCTTGTTTCTAGCCGGGGCACATCTCATACTCCATTTGAGAGGACTTCAAAATCAACCTACCAGTTCATTGCATCAGTGGCCCTTCATAGGTTACTTGTAGAGGATATTCCAGATTCCAAATGTATGTATTCTTTTTCTTCCAAGAGTTGAAGACCTTTAGAAAGCTATATTATATAATGCTCATTAACTATTATAAAGTAGGAAAAGGACTAGAATTTTCATTTGCAAGTTTGCAAATAGTTCGAGTATTTTAGGATTTCATTAATGTAAACTTTGCACCTATCGGAAATAGCAAAGGAAAGGAATGCTGGTGTTGTCAGACATGCACCCTACATATTAGGAAAACAACTTTCAAAAATCATAAAGGGAGGCATGAACCCACATCATCCTGAGTTCTTTGAAGCAATCTGACAGGAGAGCCACTACTCACTACTGCTTGTAAATGTTACAATTTTATACTTTTACCTATCACTCTTCCATTTTACTAGGGCTATACTGTCTACAGATGTTACTATATTTTAGATTTTTATATGCCGTTTCCATTCCACTAAGATTAAGTGATTATTACAAATCTATGTACCTTTTCTTCCTTAAATTCATATTCAAGTTGACACTTCTTCTGAAATTGACAGACTTGCCAAGGATGTTTAGTAACAGACATTTCACTCATTAATAACCTCAATAGAACTCTCGTCTGTTACAAAAAGAAATCCTACTTAAAACTACCATGCCTATTTTTAGTTATTATCCTACACGCTACTTCCCAAGCTTAAAAGGATCCTTCTCTTTTCTCAGTTTCTGTTAGGCCAGACAATCTGAATGGAATACCTCTCGTTCCAATACTCTTCATCGCATGTCAAGGCAGGACTTACGGTTAAAGCTGGAACGAAGGACTTAGATAAAGAACTCACCCTTAAAAAAGGGCTGCTCCCCTTTAGTTTTAGCCTCATTTTAAATCTGAGCCTGAGAAAAAAATGAACACCAAAGGTGAAAATAAATATTTCCACCTAGAAAACAAACTCCGGTGACATGGGTTAGTAATCTATAATCACCGGGAATGGTTAAAGAGGGTAGGACATCTGCTTTTAGTCTCCTGTTAGTCAGCTGTGCTGTCTCATAACATCGTTATGTAACCTGCTAGACAGCTGGCACTCAGCTACATAGTTGGCTTACTTCCGACAAGGTGGTCCAGGCCTAGCTCTCAGCATCTTTACCTGCACCAACTCTTAGTGCAGACCTTTACCGGTTCCAGTCCTTCAGGAGTGGCCGAGACAAGGAGTTAAAGAACATGACATCATCTACCATCTACGAGTCTTTAAAAATAACTAATTTGGGTGCCTGGGTGGCTCAGGTGGTTAAGTGTCTGCCTTCAGCTCGGGTCATGATCCCAGGGTCCTGGGACCGAGCCCCACATCAGGCTCCCTGCTGAGCAGTCCCTCTCCCTCTGCCTGCCCCTCTCCTTGCTTGTACTCTCTCTAAAATAATTTTTAAAAACCCTGCTAATTAAACAATCACAAAGATAAGATTTTTTAGGTTATATTTGAATTATTCAGTATTTTTAGGAAGTTATATTCTAAACTGGACTCATATTGGAATCCCTTTTTAGTTTTCATGAAGTTCCTAAAGATGACTTGGTCAATTCTTGAATTTTAAAACATTTTTTTTCCTTTTGATTGTGACCTGCCAAGATTAATTAGTAGACCTCAAATATTTTTACAGATATCAAGAATGCATTTATTCTTCATGGTCCAAAACGTGAATGGATTTGTGCTACAGAGGTTGAGGATGATAAATTCCTATGGTTGTCAGTACTCCAAAGTGCAATCAAAAGTAGTATGGAGAAGTGAGAAAACATTATGGGCGCTTATTCTCCCTGGCAAAGACAATGTATTTTCTGTTCCAGAAGATCCGTAGGAAGCAGAATGATGATTTGTCATGGATGATGGGAGAATGAACTAGGACGACCCATAAAGTCCCTCCTAACTTCTAAGCTTTATCGTCTGTGTTCAACTATGTGAAGAAATGTAAAGTACAAACAAATTGAGTCCAAAATTTTGCAGCACTTCTTTTGGTAGTTATTTTTCACAGACACTATTGTTTAGATTAATTTGACAGAACAAGGATAATTGTGTATTTAAAGTTTTGTTTTATGATCTAATGAAAACGTCAGAATAAAAAAATGTTTCTTAAGTGATCGGTCTAGAGAAATATTTTGTTGACTTACCTATCATATCTTTATAAATTTTCATGATATAATTACTGATTTTTTTTTTAAAGATTTTATTTATTTATTTGAGAGAGAGAATGAGAGAGAGAGAGAGAGCGAGCATGAGAGGGGGAGGGGCAGAGGGAGAAGCAGACTCCCTGCCGAGCAGAGAGCCCAATGCGGGACTTGATCCCTGGACTCCAGGATCATGACCTGAGCCCAAGGCAGTCGCTTAACCAACTGAGCCACCCAGGCGCCCATAATTACTGATTTTAAAATTGTATAATATAAATGGCAATTTACTCAAAAACCTGTCACATATGCCCTTAATATGAATGTACTCTCCAGAGAGCATTAAAAATAAACCACTACAAAGGTTACTAAAAAGTTTTCTGTGATTTTTAAGTGTTTCTTGGTTGCAAAATTAAAATTTTTAGATCTTCCAAGTAAGAGGTTTTAAAAAGTTAAATTAGACACTGTTAAATTAGAAGGCTGTTGGGAAAAAAAACAAACAAAACACTTTTTTTTTTTAAAGATTTTATTTATTTATTTGATAGAGAGAGAGCACAAGTAGGCAGAGTGGCAGGCAGGGGGAGAGGGAGAAGCAGTTTCTCCTTTGAGCAGGGAGCCTGCTTCTCCCTCTACCCCTCCCTGCTGCTCGTGATCTCTCTCTCAAATAAATAAATAAAGGATCTTAAAAAAAAAAAAGAAAGAAAGAAATCAAGACAATTCTGTTTGAAGAGAAACAGCAAAACACATGTTCGGTAGTTTTCTGTACCTTTAAAACCTTCATTTAATTATTTAACAAACTGAAGCCATAATCTGTTAGGCACTTGGAAATTTCTGCTGATGTATTGCAGTAGTAGTAGTATTTTTTACTTGAAGTAGATATTGATCTTGGAAGCTTTCAGTTGTCAGTTTCCTTTTTGTTTCATGTTCTCCTTTAAGATAGTAAAAATCTAGTAGAGTCTAGGATTGTGAACTGGGCTATTTTAAACATTTTCTTTTTTCAATAACAAACATAAATTTCTTCTAACTCTTAAAAATTTAAATTCTTGTTAAAAAATGTAGAGAAATTAAAATATTGTGCTGTTTTATTAGTGTAAAATCACACTTTGATTCTGTTACGGTATTATCCATGCAGCTTAACATCTATGATCCACAGACACACTAAACCATTAAAGGGAATATCTGCTATTAGCAGTGAATGCAAATTTACATATGTTATCAAAATGTATATATCATATAATATGAAACAAATCCTAAGACATTTTATCATCCTGAATAGGGCACACTTCAGAAGCTCTGTTAATAGGAAAAACCAGTCTCTATGGCCAAAGATTGAATGACAAGATAGCTGAAGGTAAACTAGAAATATCAAGGAATTTCCATTTATTCCGCGAATAATTAATGCCCTCAGAAGTTTTAAAACATTATTACTTGAGAATAATCTCTGTAGCGACTGATAAGCATAAATCTCTAATTGAGAATTAAGTGCATAAACCAGGCAAAAAATGGTGTTTGAGTGTGGACAGTACTCATGTTGTTTGTGGTTTCAACATCTCCCTTTGCTTCTGGGGGACAATTAAGACCTGACTTCACAGCCATTTCCTAAGTTTACATGACTGCTGAGTTAAAATTTCACACACAAAGTTTTTAGGTTACCGGTGAAATTGCTCAATTTTCACCGGGAAAATTATAAAATCTGACACCCAAGTTGACATGGAAGAGCCTGAAAGTACCACGTGACTCCTGGGGAATGCAGATTATGGTTAAAGAATGCCTCATCCAATATAGTCCCTTCAAATCAAAAATTAACTAGGAAGCTCACTTTAAAGATTTCTACAAAATATAGATTTTTTTTAATGTAAAATATTAAACCTAAAAGACAAATTGACTATTTAATTTGGTCTCCTTTTGCAAATATTTCAGTCTGTGCTTGAGATATGAATAGCAAGGCCATTCTGTAAATCAAATCAGTGTGAGGTTCTGGCCACGTAAGTATACTGGACACTGTCATGTATTCCTGATGCTATGGCGTAAGAAGGGTGGGCTGTGCCAACAAACACAATATATCCTCCAGGAAAAGTCATCCTGACCCTTTTATTGTTGAAATTAAAAAATAAAAGATACTTAAATACAGGTGAACATAGAGGGCAAAACAGAATCATAAAATTTAATGTTGAATTAAGCAGTGAGCTGAACGTTTGGGTCTCCAAATTGGCTTGAACCCAAAACTGCTTAAAAATGGGTATGTTCACAGTTAACGGCAATTGGCTTATAGGTGAGAGAATGGTCGAAGCTGTTCCAGTTGAACTTCCAGAGAAATTCTCTCTTCAAGAACATCCTGAAAAAGATGCAAAGTTAAGTTATGTTTCAAAGTATATAAAAATGAAGGCACATCTAAGAACAACTCAGCATCAAGAACACAATTTAAATTTGTTAAGACGACGAAAGGAGTCATATTTTAAAAGGATACTTCACTTAGAAAGTAGTTTATGTGTAGGTAGTATTAAAATATGATCTTAATTAAAATCTTTTTCTTATTAAATAAATCAGGGTAATAAAATGTTTCTTGTTTAATTATTAGAAAAGCCAATATTTGCAAATGATGCTATTAATGCATGCATTTTGCATAAAGCCTACCTCCTGCAGTAATAGATGAATCAATTAACACAGATTCTTTTTCCCGGTGATTATATCTGGTCATGACAACTCCTAAATCTCATTTGAGTTTTGGTTTCACAAAGAATAAATTTATTTTGCAATCAGAATTTTTAATCACTGTTGATTTTGAGCAGTCTTTTCACATAGCCAGTGAATCCTAACTCACCTACTTTCTTTTTTTTCTTGGACATGCTGATAGTATTGTGTTTTAACCAGAACTACCTCTTGCTATTTCATATCATACTTCCTATTTTCTGTTCGTTCAAGATAATGAGAAAGGTGATTTTTAAAATAGCTCCTACATACATGTTTCTATAGGCGGCTTTAGTTCTTCAAAAAAATATGTGCCAACAAAATTTTCATTGTCAAGGTATGGTTCTAGCAAGCTTTCCTTAGTTTTACATTCTTCCTTTACAACAGACCATATTCATGATCATAGAATGACTACAAATATCTTCTTTGATCAAAGAGCTATACAAAAATATCATTCATTCACATATATTTAGCAAATCCTAACATGTGCTAGGTTTTGGGGATAGAAACAAGATGGTTATGAATTTATCTAGGAAGCCCCAGCTGACTTCTGATGTCCTGCCTGAACGTAACACATCCCTCTCTCTTTTCTCTCAAAAGTATTTTGGTTTGGACAACATATATATGGTCACCCTGAATAGAAAAAATGATGATTTGCTCTCAGTGAGTTCATTTTATTAGGACAGAGAACCAAATGTGACAGAGACAGATAATAATTCCAGATAGTGTGATAAAAGCTAGATGAGGGATACAAACAGAATGTTATGGGAACAAACTAACTCTGCATTTATTTTACACTTCACAGACTCTTTTCCCCTCATTTTCGTCATTTACACCCTTGCTACTCAAAGTTGGACCAAAAGTCCAGCAGCATTCCATCATATGGAAGCTTACGAGAAATGCAGAATTCTCAGGTCCCACTCCATACCTAATATGAATCAGAATTTGCATTTTAAGGCAACCCCTGATTAACTGTATACACATTAAGATGTGAGGGCCACTGGTTTACAACATATGAATGCTTAATAATGTTGGTAAACCATAAATGATTCTGGCTAATTTTTATTTGTAGAGATTCAAAGAAATCATAGTAGTAAGAAAGAAAAACAAACCTATTCTTCTCACGTATAAATGATGGGAGTACACATTGGCCATAAGCACCATTTCTACTTAAGGCTTGTTTTTCCTTTTTCACATGCAAAATCTCAACTGTCCCCATCTTCTTTAGACCTGTTCAACTCCCTTTAATAGAATCTGAGTAGTCTTCGATAAAAGGATAAACTAACAATAGTCAAATCATCTTAGAATTAAATAAGAGTGTAGAGAACCACGTATATGATCTTGGAGGTACCCGAGGTCACAACATTTCCTCTCTTGGGTTTCATTATGAAAGTTCAGGAACATTATAGGAACAGTGATGCCATATATATATACATGGCAAGACAGATCAGAATTGAGTATACAAAATTCCTTTTAATATACAAAGATTCAAAGGTGTAAAGAACATTTTAGATACACATTTCTCTTGCTACCCAGGAAGTTTCATACTAGCTAACAGTTGCTGGATCATTTCTAAGTTCCAGTTAACTGAGATGTTCTGAGTCCATGGAACTTCCCAAGTAAAGATTCAGAATACCTTTAATTGTTGCTGCAATTCACTATTCAATCTGGCCAAAACTGTGTTGGTTTCCTTATTGCGTCTAATTGATGCCTGAATTGCTTTCTTATCTTTCCCAACAGACCTGAGAAGATAAAGAGGGCAAGAAAACATGACTGTCATTTCTTATCTTTAAATTCTCTCCATTCTTCCCTGCCCTCTAAATCCAGAAAGTAGAGGGAGCATCTTTTGCCTTAATAGCATAGCTCAACCTCACTTGCTCAGTTTCAACGGTCAACCAAAAGTATCTAAGCTTCAGAAGCTTAAGTAGTATTGTTATTGTTTCCTTTCTTCTTCTGTAGAATCACCTGAGTTTTAGTTAGTCCAGAGCAGGCATCAGCAACCATTTTCTATCAACAACCACAGAGTAAATATTTTAATTTGTGGGCCATATGATTTCTGCAGCATATTCTTGCTTTTGGTGTCTTTTTCTCTTCTTTCTCTCTCCCTTCTCTTTTTTACACAAATGTAAAAGTCATTTTTAGCTCTCGGCCTTACAAAAACAGGCCATGGGATGAATTTGGTCCAGGAGCCCTTGTTGGCCAATTCTTGGTCTATGACAACCATAGTTAAAATCTTAGTGTTACTCTACACTATTAATTTTTTTAAAATTCTGCTCTAGACTACTGAATCATTGAACACTACATCAAAAACTAATGATGTACTACATGGTGGCTAACTGAACATAATAAAAAAAAAATCTGCTCTAGGGTTTGCGTTAGGTTGTTAAAATGAAATTGGAACTGAACCTGATAATGGAAAGGGGAAAAGTGGGGGAGAATATTATACCTATTCATAAAAGAGAAAACTCTCAAAGAGGAGCAGCTAAGAACCTCTGCTCAACTAGAGAGCTAGTCTGACCATAATTTCATTTTGATACGTTAAGTGCTGTACTTTTTGCTCCTAGTCATTACGTTTGTTTAGGAACAGCTCTGATTACCTAGGAATAGAAGGTTGTGATGCAAGCACAGCAGCTAAGACACCTGTCTTTTGTGTGTGTTCATCAACTTCTGGCCTTAATTCATCTTCTGATTTCAATCTTCTTCGAACAGGTTTAGGTGGTGGAGCAAGAGGTGTGGTGCCTTTGCTCTACAAGAGAAGAGGTCCGTTAACAATGAGCATGTCTTCAAGACAGTCACGGTTACTCAGCACTTTACCAACATCATTTGCTTTCTTTAAACTGCTTATTCTCCAAAATTTAAAAGTCACCTGTCCCACTTTAAAACAATTTATGTATTTGTAACACAGCTAAGTTAAAATTTCAATGCGAAAGGGTGTTCCTGGTTGACATCACAACTGTGAAATGTACCTAACCAGACACTTTAACATACGCTCCTTGAGGCCTAAATCTGACTCAAAACTGTAATATTCACGATTTAAATATTAACAAGAAAGATGTTCAATATATATACTGTTTAATAAATATAAAAGGGTGTCTCCAGGGGCGCCTGGGTGGCTCAGTAGGTTAAGCATCTGACTTTGGCTCAGGTCATGATCTCAGGAGGTCCTGGGATTGGGCTCTGCATTGCGTTCCCCACTCAGTGGGGAACCTGCTTCTCCCTGTCCCTTTGACCCTCCCCCAACTCGTGTTCTTCTCTCTCTCAAATAATCTTAAAAAAAAGAGGGGGGAGAGGAGTCTCCAGAAATATGCATCCATTATCATCATAGGATTCCCTATTCAAAAATACTAAAATATGTCATCTTAATAAAACAATTAATAAAGAAGTAGAAAGCTAGGCAATGCTTTAAAAACAACTAAGATGCACAATAATTGTAACTCTTGAATATGAGTGGACATTTTGTTGGAAACTGTGAATCTTCCCTCAACAGATTCAAATATGGTATTTTGGTATTTACCATAACTTCATTTGATCTGTTAATAAATAAAAATGACAACTGCCATATCTTTGGTTAAGTGCTATTTTTAATTTGTTGCTGTGAGCTGACAAAAATAAAATTCACTATTAAAAAATATCACAGAAATATAGTAAAAAATAAAGTGTCCAGAAAGTAGAATTTAAGCACTCTCAGAAACACATGCTGTAGTAACTATTGGAAATGTCTGGGTGATAACAGGAAAAAAAAACTACCAAAACTTTTCTTTCAATGGAAAAACATGCAAATATCTGTAATTTACTTTAAAATGCAAAAATAGGTAAGAAGGATTGATGCAGACAGACGGATGGACAGGTATGTGATAATGCAAGTATAGTAAAATATTAATGGTACAGTCAAGGTGTGGGTGTATTGATGTATACAACGTAAAATTCTCTCAACTTGACTGTATGTTTAAACATTTTCATAATAAAATGTTGGGGGAAAATTATCCCCAAGACAGTAAAAAAAAAAAAAGAACACAGAGTATAACACCCTTAGAGGGTTGGCAATTTTTCTCTATGACACTGAAGACTGCAATAAAACAAATGGAATTTGACCAATAAGGAAAGCGTATTTTCTGTATGTGGAAGAATGTCATCAGCAGATAAATTCTGAGAACCTATGGCATATACTAGATGACAGACTAGCATCTCCTAGAGTTTTTAAATAGGCAGACCCTGTTCTGAGACAGACCAAATATATTACAGTTAGAGGCTTAGATGCTCTGCAGTTAACCTCATTTCTAAGATTTTCGTCATCTTTAAAATCTTACAAACTAAAAGTGATATCATATAACTTTTTATATGTACAAAATAATCAATATTATAGAAGACTTCACGTACCACATTGGCGGGAACACTAGCAGCTGTCTTTTCTTCAATTTTACTATCTGTTTTGGCAACTCGAAGAGAACTTGCAGGATCAGAAGCTTTTTCAACCTAGAGATGAATATATTATCGCTCCTAATTATACATAAGCAGTATATAATTATGCATAAATACATATGTTAACAAATCAGAGAGTAAAATGTTAAGAAAATATTCATTCTGATAATAAGGAATGTGGAAAAACCCCATAAAATGACCATTCTCTACTGTAGAAGGAGAGAGAGCAGGGGAGGGCTGAGGATGCAGCCCAGCACTGTTTGGAAAGTTCTTGTGGGTTGGGGAGGGGATACGTCCCCCACAGGGGCATGAGTACCAGCACCCTGTGCACACCTGTGCTTCCCCTCAGGTCCTCCCCTGCCTTCCTGGTGGCTCAGGCCATACCCCAAGTGGCCCCAGGGCTAGGCAGAAAGTTTCAGGTTGGAAGAAGCAGCTAGTAGAAGTTCTTGCCACAAGAACTGAACAGCGTCTTCCAGAACACTGTCTGCAAAGATGGAATCTGGCAGCCCGTAGTCTGCAGGACTAACTCAAGTGACTTACTATCATATGCATGGAGTGTAGCTAGGAAATCTTCACCAAATCACACATCAGATGCAAGCCCCCGGGCAGTGTGTTAGCCATGCCCGGATGGTTGTGTTTGTGTCTTTTCCCGAGACAGCTAACTCCCACCCAGATTCTGATTCTTATTAGGCATTATATTGTAACCAGCAGGTATCTAGGGCCAATTAAGTACTTAAGAAGCACAGACCTAACCAGGGGGATATGAATTCTCTTATTACTCACTGATGTCCACTCTAACATCTGCTCTTTTAGAGCTTCCTCTGTTGATAGACCTGCTTATGAACATAATGTGGGAAGAGTTTCCCAGCAGAAAATTAGATAAGCCCTCGAAAACTGACCGGCAAGACCTCTGGATGTTTCTCGGCTTCATCATCTTGTTCTTCATTGACGTTTGATGCAGCAAATACTTCGAATTGGCTGAAATCTGCAAAATTTGGTTGCTCTGGTATCTGCTGAGGTGAGGTACTAGTGTGAGTGATTAGGCCATCGGCATCCACTGGGCGATGCACTACGGGACCAGGAGCCTACATGATGGGTTAGGATGGAGGAACACACATTTTGTTAGTCTATCACTGTCAGCGACCTTCTTCTTTGAAAATATACTGTAGAGATGCTTTGTTATCTGTAAATTCAGGGAGATGAGCGACGGTAGCATCTAGCTCTAAAAATCGTTAAGTGGAATGCTGAGACACTCAAAAAATTAAGATGACAAACCTTCAATAAGAAAGATACTTTTACAAAATTCATATTGCAAAGAAAGTACATCAAAGGAGAGGGAGGGTCTGGCCCTACTCTCTAAACTCTCCACTTCATCCACATTTTTCTGAATTAGGCTACTGCACAATAGTTTGTGCTTTTAACAAGTTATTTTTTTAAAAAACGTTTCATTATGTTTCTAAAAAGGTTCATTTAAAGTGTGAAAACCACTGCTCTAACTATCCTCCCAACATTTCAGTGTACTTCCCTTCAGTTCGTCCTCCACTCCCTTGCCAGAGCGATCCTTCTAAAATCTTCAATCCAAAAACACAGGTGAGTATGTAACTTTTGACCAAGCACTATGGGAATAATAGTGAATGAACAAATAAGGCTGATGCCCTAATGAAGCAGACCATGCAGTGCAGGGTAAGAGACAAGTACACAAGGACTTGAGACACAGTGTGAGGAATTTGATGACAATGCAAGTACAGGATGCTATAGGAATAAATCTGCAGTCTCTTCCCTGCTTACACCCTTTAAACATTCTCTCTCCTGTAAGAATTCTGTCCTTAGTACGATACAGAGATACTTTGCCCCTTTTCCACCTCTTCAGTCTCATTCCCCATCACTCCAGTGGTACTGAACCAACTCCTGTTCCCTGGAACATGCCAGACCATGTCATTCCTTCTGACTGGAGTACCCTCTCTCCGATCTCTCAAGTCTCTGCTTAAAGTCTCACTTCCTTCATTTTACTTACACCTTTCCAATGTGATTCTTGACTTTACTAGTTAGTCAAGCTGTGCTGAAGCACTTCATAAATACATCTAGCACAGCCCTCCTATTATAATTGTTGTTTACAGGTCTATCTTCCCCACTGGACTGGTTCTTGAGTCAAGTGACCAACTCACTGGGTTTCACAGTTCAACCCAATATAAGTATTTTCGTTGGTACTTTAGATAAATGAAATATTCAAATTTCAGTATCTTTTATGATTAAGAAACCATCTTTTTAACTTCAAATAACTAACTTCATTGTAAGAATCTAACTCAGAAAAATCAAACAAATTCATTCATGTAAAAGGTAGTCGGCCAGTCACATAAAACTATCAGCTATAATCCAGAATCTGTCTTAGAACATACCAGATGGAAACAATTTCAACCTGCCAGGGATGAAGAGGTCATCTTACATTTCCTTTACTGACGGAGTAATATCTCCAGGGAGATGCAGCAAGGGCATGGAGCCTCTGCGAGACCCAGGACACACAGGGACATCTCCTATCTCCCAACCCACTGTTCTCTCCACTAAACCTTCCGTTATCAAGACATTATCATTTGGTCCACTTTTAAGTTTCTTTCAAAAAATAATCATTATTCTTGACTTTCAAAATAAAACTTAGCTTCCCTGAATAAACTGCTCATTAAGAATGACAAGTAGGTAATTCCTGATCTTCAAAATAATTCTAAACAGAAGCAAACCTTGATAGACAAATACAATTGTTCAGTAATGAATACGTTGGAGAATTACCTGTGAGGGCTGTGGTCTTGGAGGCACTGCAGGAGGATGGGCAACAACTCCAGCCTGTTGTTGTCCTAAGTAAATACACAAGTCGTCGTCTTAGTAAATACATACTTCTCTAGTAGAACAAACTGGCTGAGTGAATGTGATCAAATGATAAAGACTTCTAAGAATGCTTGATAAGTATTGGAAGGCATTTATTATCTTGTAAAACTATCTAGATATGACCTAATGACCAAGCCTCATGGCCTTTTCTCAGACCTCGTATCTTTCCTTTTTTTTTTTTTTTAGGGAGTTATTTTATTTTGTAGGCTCCACACCCAGCGTGGAGCCCAATGTGGGGCTTGAACTCATGACCCTGATATCCAGACCTGAGCTGAGATCAAGAGCTGGACGCTGAACCGACTGAGCCATGCAGGCACTCTATCTCAGACCTCATTTCTCTTGTTGTATTGCACAAGGCACTCTTGACATGCTTGTTTCCATAACACTAAACATTCTTTGCTTTCTTCTATTTCTGAATGTTCTTCAGCTATAAAATATGCAGACTTCCAAATTTTCTCTTTGCATTTAATACTTTACTCAATCATTTCTATGTAAATGATTCTCAAATAATACAATCTTTCTTAGCCCACACGTCCAGTGGCCTACTACTACAGCCCCTTTTCCTCATCATTCCAAACCTGTAATGTCCAAAAACAGAAAACATCATCACCCTCTGCTCCTAACTTTTCTATTTTGATCATCATTTATTAACAATAACAATAAAACCAGTTATATAAAAATTAAAACCTTGAAGTTATGAGTCTTCTGTCAGCTAACTGAAGACCTATCACCTTTCCCTCCTTGATCTCTCCACATGGTTGTTTTAAAATCTCTTGTGGCATCTCTCAGGTTCCCATCTTTATCATTTTCACTCAAACACATTAAGAAAAAAAAAAATTCCTCTCATCTGACACCTTTTAAACTCAAAATTTTTCTTCAGTTAACTGAAAAATAAGACACAGTGAGAGAAAATAAAATGTTGTGCTCTTTAATGAACTTTAAAATCAAACGATAATAGATATTATGGTTCTTTAACCCCTACCTGTGGTGACTGCAAAGGTCCGATTCATATCTAAAGAGGATGATCTGGAATGAGAAGGCTGAGGCCTTGGAGGGGGAGGTGGTGGTGCAGTATTATCAGGCGACGTTCCTGAATGAGACCTATAAAATTCACCCTGTTACAACTGGTCATGCTACCGGTACTGGAGGTTTTTTCTTTTTAAAGTGTTCAAACTTGGCTAAGTAGCAAAGGATCTTATAGGTGTGATATTTTCTCAAGTAGGTATATAAGTATTACAATGAATAAGGACAGGACTGTTTATGATATGCATTAAACAAGTAATTATGTAATATGGCAAGTAATCTTTTTATGAAGCATAATTATACATTTTTTAAAATTTCAAGAAATTTGAAAAAAAGTTATTAACATGAATTCAAGGTAGACAGAAACCTAGTAACATTTTCCTGCTCAATTAAAGATAATATTAGTTTGAAAAACCAGTTTCAAAAAAGGGAAACTTTACTTTCAGACATGGTTAGCTTTCACCTTATTTAAAGTTTGAAGTTTGGTAAGCTGAAATAGAATCTGGCTCAGCTACTTGAGGTGCCCATTCCTGCATCCCCACAGGCAATTTCATTATAGTGCTGGCTGTGCTCATGCTGGACCCGCCCTAGAGATTCGTTTTTTTTTTTTTTTTTTTAAGATTTTATTTATTTATTTGACAGAGAGACAGGGAACACAAGCAGGGGGAGTGGGAGAGGGAGAAGCAGGCTTCCCGTGGAGCAGGGAGCCCGATGCGGGGCTCGATCCCAGGACCCTGGGAGACGCTTAACGACTGCGCCACCCAGGCACCCCTAAGATTCACCTTTTTGCCACTAAAGTCTTCTGTAATCTGAAAAGAGTCTCATGGACTCTGGGAATCTGATCCTCACTTATAGGGATAAAAAGGAAAATAAAATCCAAGATGACCGAAGAGAAATAATTATACAAAGAAGCAGTCTTTGACTCTGGAGGTTCTTCCGAGATTCTATATTACTAGTCTCTCTCTATATTCTCCAAGCCCATGGCAAAAGGATACTTAGCACGTATAAAGATGAGGGGAAAAAGATGCTCTGTCCTGCACACAATTTTTAGTGGATGGTTAAGCCCTTGCAGACAAATCCCTTGCCACCTTCACCCTATCCCATACCTTTTTTATTTGTGCCTGAGAAGTTATATGCAATGCAGATCTTTAGGGTAGGTAGGTAGCCCAACACTAGGGTGTGTGCTTCCAGATGGCATTTTAAAGCACAGAATTCTGTGGGCACTTGCCATAAGGCTATACAAGGAAATCTGTACATTTATTACTTAGACTCTCAACTGTTTACCTACAAACAGGACTGTATTAAAGGGCTAATGCTACTATAGCTCTTTTTAGGCCTTCCACAGAATACCATGGGAACAATAAGGGCTCCTCTTGCTTTCCTATTAAAGTTGGAAAAGAATCAAAATTATTCCCCTTCTATGTAAATCAATAGGTAACCTAAAAGCCTTCAGAGAACTGAAGAATAGAGGAAAATAATTCATACTTGGTTCTAAAATAATTCTTAATATTAAAATGTAACAAGATATTTTAATATACTTTTTATTGACAGAAATACTGACCTTTGATGAGTTACATTGTTTCCAATCTGTTCTGGGTCTGAAGTAAAAGAGTCTGAACTACTGTACCCATCTGCTGATAAATGGAATATATCCTATTTAATAATAGTCTTTTACTCACTTTTTACTCTATATACTCTAAACAAATATAGTGACTATTATTTCAAATCAGAGATATTTAAAGACTGGCTAAGAGATTAACAGTTCACCCTAGTGTTATTAAATGTGAAAAATTACATATAAATCATGGCACATTTACACAATGAAATACTACACACAAACAAGTTATAATCTAGAGAAGTAAACACAGGAATAAAAATATGCTTAGACAATAATAAAACTTCCGAGATTAGCCAGATGTTCCCCATTTTTCACCTGAGAAAATATCATTTCCAAATCCTCAAAATCTTATAAAGGAGCAGAGTCCCAGAGGCAAACTAATGGTTGTGACGCAATGACAAATTTTAAAACAGAAACTGAGGGACAGTGTGAAGGAACACTGCTACTTACTTTCAAGGATTATAAATTGGAGGGACTGGTTATTTGGTTTGGCTTCATTTCAAAATGTCTCACTTTCCTTTTTCGTAGCAAATAACTGAATTGTTTAATTGGTACAGGAAGGATGCTAAAACTAATGTATTTCCATTTGGATGTACCAACAGGCATCTCAAACCTGAGATGTCCAAAACTCAACTTCTGTTTTTCCCCCAACAAACTACTGTTACCACAGCCTTCCTCAATTCCCAGTGGCTCAGACCAAAATTCCCTGAATCGCCCATGACCTCCCACTCCCATCCTGTATCACACAGGCAAACAAGTCCTCTGCTCTTTCTGAAAAAATATGGCCAGAATCTGACCACTTCTCAGAAGTGCTGAGAAGCGCACTTCTACTGCTATCACCCTAGGCCACACCGTCCTCTTCTCTTGCCTGTGTTATTCTAATTGTTTTTTAACCGGTCTTTCCTGTTTTGACTCTTGCTTTCTTCAGGCCTATTACCAATACAGCATAGTGATCCTCATTAAAAAAAAAAAAAAGGAAGGTCAGACCACATCACTTCTCCATTCAAAACCTCCTAATGGCTTTTTATCTCATTCAGGAAAAGTTACTCTTACACTGCTCCCTCATTACTCCTCTACCACTTGCTACTTCTGCCTGCCAAATATGCTGACTGATTCTATTCCAGGTGTCCGCCTGCTGTTTCCAGCAGAAGGCAGTTCTCTAAATCAGAGCTTCACATATGCTGTTTCCTGTGCCTTAAACGTCCTTCCTTCAGATATTCATAGTTGAATCCCTCATCTCCTTCAAGTTTTAACCCAAATGTCATCTTTTGGTAAGGTCTTCTTTGACCACCTTATTTAAAATGTCATTCCCTCTTCTCTTTCCCAGATTTTTTTTTTTTTTAAAGATTTTATTTATTTATTTGACAGAGAGAGACACAGCGAGAGAGGGAACACAAGCAGGGGGAGTGGGAGAGGGAGAAGCAGGCTCCCCGCAGAGCAGGGAGCCCGATGCGGTGCTCGATCCCAGGACCCTGGGATCATGACCTGAACCGAAGGCAGATGCTTAATGACTGAGCCACCCAGGGGCCCCTCCCAGCTTTATTCTTATCCAATGTGTTAATTATCTCCTAAGACAGGAGTTAAGATTTTTTTTCCCTCTTACATCCCCTACTGAATGTAAGCTCCATAAGGGCAAAGATTTTTTTCTGTTTTAAGGGCTGAATGAATCCCCAGTGTCTAGAACAGAGCCTGCCACATACTATTCCTTTAACATAGGCTGAATAAATGAATGTACACACAATTTCTTGTGAGACAAAGGAGCAAGTGGGAAGTCCATGGACTAAATGTGGTTAACTGAGAGGGATGGCAAACAGAAGCAGGTCCAGGTGGCAATAAGCAACCATTTACTCATACAGAGGGTAGGGCATTTAAAAGGGTTGACTAATCTCTACTTTATTCAGTAAAGGTAATATGAAATAGCTATACATTTGAATTATTCTAAATCCAGACTTAATCAACTTCAAATGGAAACTGTAATGCTATTTTTCACTTACCTACAGTATTTCCAGAAGCAAATTTCACCGATGAATTTATCTTACTTTCCTCTGACAGGTCAGATGGTTTCACAAGTAATGGGCTAGTGGGATTAGTATGATCTAGTAGAGAATTAACAGTTAAAAATACAAGAACTGAATTAATAAATTCATAAACTTCAGAGTATAAGACTTCATTTATGTATTCCAAAGAAGTAGCAGGTAAACCTCATGAGATATAACACAAAATAGCATTTTTAATAAAAATATAAGCTTGTTCATATAGAATTTTGTTTTCTGCCATAACAGAAAATAGGTTATGACAAAAAAGTCAACTTGCATGTTCATACTTTATTAATTTTATCCCTTCAGAGTAATTGCTTAAAATACCACACAAATGGTTGTAAAATAAGTAATTTATAATGTTGACTTATACAGAAAATAAATATACTTCTGAGAAAATATACCTGTAACTAAAACATTTAATCTAAAATGAGAAACTTCAAGAATTTAAGCAAAACAATTTCAAAGCCAAAATTTATTTTAACATATACCTCTTCAGTTAAGATCTGAACATACTTTAATGTAAGTTCACAGCAGTTATCATAAAAACCCACAGGGTAGAGGCATGTGGGTGACTCAGTCAGCTAAGCGACTGACTCTTGATTTTGGCTCCGGTCATGATCTCAAGGTCTTGAGATGAAGCCCTGCATGGGGCGTGGAGCCTGCTTAAGATCCTCTTTCCCTTTCCTTCTGCTCCTCCCCACCCTCTGCTTACAGGCACTCTAAAATAAATAAATAAAATCTTAAAAAAACTACAACCTACAGAGTATTAGAAAAGTCGCATTCCCAAGTGTCCTTATTTTTAAACTTTAGAACATAAATTCAACAGTTTCCCTTTTCTTAAAAAATTTTAAAAGATTTATTTGAGAGAAGGAGAGAGAGAGCACATGCAGGGGGAGAGGGAGAGAGAGAGAGAGAGAATCCTCAAGCAGACTCCCCACTGAGCTCAGAAGCCAACACAGGGCTGGCTGGATCCCAGGACCCTGAGATCATGACCTGAGCCAAAATCAAGAGTTGGGTGCCCAACCGACTGAACCATTCAGGCACCCCTCAACAGTTTCCTTTTTGAAACTGTAATATAAATTGAACAATACATACAACCAAACATATATATGTGAACTAGTAGAAAGTACCGTTAAAAAATAAACAATTATAAAAGAAATCTGAGCCCTCAAAGAATAATTGTGTATTTCAGTTTGACACTAATCTAAAATACAACCCAGCAACAGCTTCCTTACCACTGCCAGCTCTTTTCAGTTCCATTTCCTGCATGTGGATTTTGCTTGGAGTCATACGAATGGGAACTGGATGAACAATAGCGGTATCCTAGAGACAAATGGGAGGAAATACAGACTTTGCATTAAAAATGCCAAGCCGATACCATGAAATAATAAAAACTAACAACACTTTAAATAGACTTTCTTATTTATGCTAAGGCAAGCATGAAAATAAGTTTCTTAATTACAAGTTTTAGAATCACATGTAAAAAATCAAGTTCACCATGTGTGCCTAATAATCTGATTTCTTTTATAAAAAGTGCATTTTAACTTCTGAGTGGTTAAAGCTTTGAGTGAAAAAAGATCTATAAAACTACCTACAGGTGAAGACAATATTCAAAGGCCAAGTGTGAGATGATCTCATCAAATTATACAAATCTGAACCTTTGAGGTTAAAGCGAACTATTTCATGAGAACCCAAAGACTAACAGACTGAATGAACTCTTCTTCCCTAAACTGCTGAAAAAAATCTGACATTTACTTTTTCCTATATAAAACAAAGGTAACAGTGCTTGCTATATTGTAACAGCCGGCATGATACATAGTGTCTACAGATTAGTTTTACAGAGCTGTTGAAAACTTCCACAAAGGCATGCATTTTTAAAGAGGCATAAGTTAAGACTCCTACTCTTAGTGTTTTTCTTAAACCTTGTCATGACTGGAATACATCTGATGTTCCTAAACTTCATGAGTGGCAAGTCTAGTAAGAGGAGTAAGGAAATTGGTAGTACAGACTTTTTGAAAAGAATGCAAACAGCAAAGTAAGAAGAGAGGACAAACACAAGCCTCTCCGAAAGAGAACAAAATGAGAAAGGTGCCCCTGGGGCCACGGGCAGGCCTGGCCCTGGGAGCTGAGACCCACAGGGGAGGAACCAGAATAGGATCCGGCATTTGGCTTAGCAGCAACAGACCAGTACTGCCAAGGGGGCTCCGCTCCTTCTACGAGGTGTCAGTTCACGTTTTGTAACACTGAACTTGAGATCCTTCAATTTCAAATATCTAGTTACGAGTTATGCTTATAATTCAGTGTGAAGGATAGTGACTTTTCAGTTTAAGTCAGACACCATTTTTGGTTGAGAGTAGCAGGTAACACCCAAGCCTCTGCTCGAGGAAGTTCCGTTCCAGCATACTGTCTCTTGTTTGACAGGTCTCCCTGGCTTACTCTCATCATCTCTACATTCAACCAATTTATAACAAATGAATTCTTTGTTGCAATTATACTGATAGATCCATTCACAGTAATTTTCTGCCCCACACCAGCGAGATTGTGGAAAGAGCTCTAACATTTCCCCTATAACTCTAAAATTAGTTATAAAGATGAATATTATAACTGGATAAAAGTTGAGATTTCTCACAAAATAATGAGTTACTCTCAGGAAAATATTTTTAACAATATACTTAAGAGGTTCTTTGTTGTATTTATGGTTATAAAAACCACGGCTTTAGGAATAACTACTACTTTCTTAACTCACAATTTTAGTGGCAGAAATAAATGCCATAAGAATCAAAATTTAACCTTATAAGGCAAGATCAAAGGAGAAAAAATAATTCATGAGACAACAAACTCTTATTCCAAACCCAAAACAAGCTAGGAAAATACATGCAAAAAAAATTTAGTAGATGTTTTAACTCATAATATTCATCTAATATATATTTTCTGTGTATATAAGATCAGGTATATAAAACTTTTAACAGTTGGAACTATGAAGTAACCTTTTCATATATTTCCAGTACAATACATGGGACGCATGATAATGACTCCAAGAAAAGAAAATCATGAATGTTCTTCTATTCATTCTCCAAATAATTTGCCTAAGTTTCTGTGCCAGCAAATCAATTTTGTATCACATACTTCAGACATACAACCACTGGTTGCTGTGAGCCTGCAACAGTTTTAGTCCAGCAGATCCAGCTGCTAGCAGGACAAGGCAATTCCTTGCAGAGCATTACACAGATGACAGGCCTACCCTCCAACTAGTATATATTTACGAAGCTCCATTTGTGATTGTGAACTGCAGTAGGATAGAGAGCTTTGACTCTAAACATTTTGACATCCAAATGAAGAACCATGAATGCCAACATGCTTCTGAGTCCTGAGCCATCAGATGCTCCAAACTAGCATCCTCTAATTTAAAAATAGAGAAAAAAGTATAAAGACTGGCGAGCAGGCTCTGCCCAGTGTCTTCTACCTATTCAAATCACCTCATCACCTTTAGGAAACCCATTCCTAATCACTCATGGCACATTTAGGTCATATATTTGGGCATCTGATTTATGTATACTTTATTGACTGTATTATGCTCATCTATTGTATTTTCTTGCCTTAAATCCCATTATCCTGCCTGAGTCCAGCCTCTCTACTTCTCATTTCTGTGTCACTCATCATCTTGCTCTCTCTTGATCCCATCGATCCTTCACATTGTCTGTTGCCTGAGTGATCTTTCCCAAGTGCCTCTTTCTCACCCCCATCTTGTCATGGCACTCCTGGCTGGCTATGAGATAAAGTTCAGATCCTTGGTTTAGCACACAAAGATCTTCCCAGTCTGGTTTCAACCACACTCCCTAGCCCCATCATCCCCCCATCCACATGTTTACTCTATACTCCCAGCACATTAAAAGATCCTGCCTGTGATATTCTCTCTGCTTGGAATGCCCTTGTACATTTCTGCCAATTCACAGTTTCTTTCAAAACTCAGCATACAAACATAACCTCTTTTGTGAGAACTTTCCCAAATACACTGGGCTGAGCTAGCCCACAGTTCTCTGCCCACAATTTTGTTCACAGCTATATACAATTATCACAATCAGCTATATTACAACCATCAACTTATCATGATTAAGCTGTGGTCTACTTAAGAGTAGAATTTTTTTGACATTTTTATACTCCTAGAGAGTATCGCAGGCACTTAGAAAGGGGGCTCCACCAAACCAGATGAGTTGGCTGGCTATAATCAGTAATCAAACTAACTTCCTTCTTATACCCTGAATTACTCAGAAGTTCTATAGCACTCAAGACCAGGCATAAATCATGGCAAAGACTAGTGCATTACACTTCTCATCAGTCTAGAATTTAGTAGTAGAAGCAGATTCTACCAGAGGCTATTAACGATAAGCAGACAAAAGCAATCAAGTTTCTAGAAATGAGATATCAGAAACTCAATTTCATTACAATTCTGGGAGCCTAGTTACTACCCATCTCAGTTTGTATGTGAGGTCACTTTACTGTGTGATACAGATGTCTCTTAAGTGCTACAGAAAAGTATGGGGCTTTTCCTAGACTTTCACTTTACTGAGCAAATGCCTAATTATCAAATTTTAGCTTTTTAAAAATATTCCATTAAATATTTTCAACACTGTAAGGTATGTAAATTCGTATCAGAACTGCAGTGGCATTTTTCTTTAGGTGGTTCCCTTCTAATCTGTATGGACCTTATTTACACACTTATAATTATTTATAGAAGACTTGCAAAGGATCATTTGGGATTATGGGTATAGGCTGTGTTCTGTAGAAGGTAGTTTGCCAGGTAAGTATTAAGTGAAGGATAAGAACTTAGATCCTCAGTGGTAGCAGGCATTCTCCTAATGGCAAGTTTAAAGGGACATCACTAGTTGGGGAACAAAGTTAAGATTTAAGTTTATCACTATAAAAGAAAAAAGATATTTCTAAGCACCAGATTACAAATATTTAAGACTGCCAACTTTATCAAGTTTAGAGATCTAAATTTAGGTTTAAAACAGCAATTAACCATTTTTAATTTCCTATAGCCTCCTGCCACACTAGAGATAACAAAAGAAAGTACTGAGCCATATCATTTTAAACACTAGAGTCAGAATTCACAAATTTGGATATTTTTTCTAAGACGTTGGAAGAACATCACTATGATGAAGTCAAATATTTCCTGGCATTTCCTGCCAGTCACAAGTCAATTTATTTTGCCTCTGAGTTTTATATTTTTATATATAATATTCTTTCCTGGCCTGACAAAAAAATCATTAATACTATGAATGATTATTTTCACCCTCTCTTAAGGGTTGGAGAATAAAACAGAGCAATTCTGTATTCCTACATCAAACTTGCCTTTCCAATAAAGCACTTTTATTAAGTATTTTAAATAAAATTAACGTGACTATGTAAGTAGGAGATAATAATAATATGGAGAAATAAACCTTAGAGCAAAGGTAAACTTTCTTTTAGCTTATAGCACCTGTCACTTCCCAAGAGACCTTAACTGAAACTACTAATAAGAAGCAGAAATCACGTTTTGCTTTTTTATTCCTCCTTAATTTTCAGGTTGAAACCAAAGATTAAAGCAATTAAGATTGCCCTCAAAGTAGCAATAAGAAAAGCAAAGGGCACAGATAATCTACATATTAATTGGCCCATAAATAATTAACAAACTATGAAATAGATACTTAAAACAGTTCCATACTTTATCTGGTTGAATTCAACGTAAGGGCATCCTATTTCACAGATAACTCTTTAAAATTATAAAGCACAGATAAGATCCATTAATTTAAACTACTGAAGATGAACTACTATCTTTACATGCCATTTCTCCCAAATCCACAATCAAATAAGGCCATTACCTTATCTGACTCAAAATTAATGGCTCTTTGATCAGAAACATCTAAAAAGAATGCCTTGTGTCACTTTCTCCGTATCTTTTCACTCATTTTTTTAAAAAATCCTACCCTTACTCTCTTCTTCCCTTCCTACTTACTTCTTCTTTTCTTTTGAAAGGTGCCTATCAGCATGTCCTCCTCTTTAAGAGAAAAAAAAAAAATAAAAGGAAGAGCAGGAGTGAAGAGTGAGAAGGATGATTAATAGCTAAGGTTTTAAAGTTTTCAAATAATTTGAGGGATGGGTAGGGCCTATGTGAAATTAATTCTGTGGGGACAGAATTTATTTTTTAAATCAAGATGTGAACTTTGTAGCATTTTCAAAGCAACACAGTGAGCCACAGGAAGACAAGACAGAGGCTCTCTTGCACAATGGGAATCTGTGACCAACAACTATTTTTTTGAGGAACTTGATTCTCTAACAGAACTCAACATACTAATTAAGTCAAAGCCATTCCATCTGGACTGTTAAAATGAAAGATGACATTGCATATTTACATACAAAGTACATATTACATGATGTGTAAGCATACAAATAAAATAGTATTTACTAAGTGTCACCGCACTGAGATACACAGTATATGTTTACCAGAACATACACTTAATTAGCAAATGAAAACAAGGTCAGCTTAATCACTTTTCACAAAATGCTTCCTTAGACACATATACTAGATTTTAAAAACATACAGTTTTCTCTCATCAAAATAACTAGAAAATACAAAAAATGATTAAAAAAAATGTTCTTTCCACCATTAAGCACACAAAAATTGAAAAGCCTGCCACCATTTCCCTCTAAGCACTCCACTCAATCATGCATATCAGCTAAAAACCATAATGAATGGAAATTTGGGTTAATAAAATTAATTTCAAACAAGCAAGCTAAGTGATTGACTTACAGGATCAGCTGGTGCAATGTTAGAATCAAATTGGGTCAGAGTTTGTGAGCTTGAAGAGCGTTCACTAAATGTCTCCCACTGCTGAACAGACAGAGGAGAGACAAGTCAGCATGATGAGAAAGATGGAGTAAAAGATCATTGGAGAAGATTTAGCAAAGTAATTCAGAGGTTGCACTGCAAGTTGTGTTTCAAAGGCCTGACAAAATTCCATAATTTCTATTTTTCCATAAACATGTTATACTTATCTAAGCTGGGTCATCTTATAATGTAAGGTGAGCAGCTTCACATTCAAACGTATAATAACAATTTACCACAATCTCAATGGAAGAGATTCCAAGTCTCACAGAATTAAAACTTAAAACATAATATAGGAACAGAGCCTAAGTGGTATAAATGGTAACAAAGTAAAAATGTAAAGGGGTTTGTCTTGACTAGAGAAAGAATTACTTCAAGTCCTTCTTTCAAAATTCTAACGTTAATGTACTGATTTGGCGATGCTAATGAATCCTGCATACCAAAGTTTTGGTCAAAACAAAGCAAGTCAGTGCGACTTGCCAGTGCGACCCCTGAAAGATGATTCTATTATGGACGTGCACATATTTCATACATGTGTCTAGATACTTAATAAAACATAATTTAGATAAAATGAAAAGGTTTTTGGAATTAATATATGTTTGAGCTTATGTCAATCTGTAGCAAGTCAGCCCCTGCCATGAGCACTGCGCACAGGGCCATGCCGGACCACAAGACAGAGCTGCCCGTCAGGCACCATCCCCACACCCCATGCCAGAAAAATCAGAATGCGGCCACAATGAGAGCAAATCAAGCATCTGAGTATGTGTTACATAGAGAAGACTGATTTTGATATGAAATACTACTCCTCTACAAGAGGTACACAAATAGCACACCTCTTAAAACAGGTGGAGTGATAAGTCAATATGAATTTTAGTAAATTCCATTTGTTTTGAAAATCTTAGTAATAAAACAGCGTAAGATTTTATGTTAAAATTGCATTAAAATTATCATTAAAATTTGCTTAAGAATTATCAGTTATCCTCTGAAGAAGGAAAAACATCTACACATATACAATATATACATACAAATGTTTACACACAGACACACCTACTCCATTAACCAAAATCCTTTCTATAATTCAGTGTGGAAAAATATACATTTTTATGCTTCAAAGTTCGACTTACTATTTAAAATAGTGATATTCAATTTGAGAAGACATGTAGAAATTAAGTATTAGCAAACGTGATGAAAATTATTTACAAAAATAGATAATACAATCTTTCAGCAACCTAACACTGATGCATTCAAAGTGATTCTTAAAGAAAACCCACAATAATTCACTTTCATCGTGATGTTAGTACAATTAGTTTCCTCAGTAATTATTGTTGCAGGGGCACAGAAGGAATTTTTAAAATCCTAATTATTTAATTGTGGAGAAAAGCTTAGATGTAGAAGATTTTTGCCAAAAAGAAGGTATTACCTATCCTATTTGGTGGCATGAAGCTCTACCCGGTTTTCTAAGACTATACGTAAGTTACCTGGAGAGCAGAGACACCCTGATCTTTGTAACTTCAGTATAATGGCTAAGAGCACACGCTCTGCAACCAGACTGCTGGAACCCTAGTTATGCTGGACAACCTTAGGCAAGTCATCTGACCTGTCTGTCAGTTTCACCATCTGTAACACGAGACTAATAATGCTGAGATCATGGGATTGTGGCAAAGATGTAAGGAGTTAATATGTGTAAGGAGCTTTCTGAGCAGCGCTGGCACATCAAAGGTGCTCGATAGATGTTAGGCATTATTATTAGTGTTATCCAGTGCCGGCTCCATATTCACAGGCGCTGAATAAGTATTTGCTGAAAGAGTGTTAGTGCTTTGTGGTAGAAAGTTAAAATATAATGTAAATGCCATAACCTAAGTAGGTATTTTTTTATAAATATTGTTGAAAGGTCTCAAAATCAATGTTAGTTTTATTAACATTCTGGTTTTCCACATACAGTAAAAAAATATTATGACATTCATGACTTTTTTAGCAAGTACTACAAAATGAAACTTGCTAGGAATATTTCAAGGGAAAATGCAACTACTGGAATCAGAATTTGGAAGGGAAGCCATTCCTAGGCTTGAATGATCACATCGCAATTTTACTTAGAATGAAGATGGGCTTTGGAATTGAGCTGCTTCTTAGAGTTGCTTTTATTTATGAACTGATATCAAGGGAATATAAATATTCTTAATCTGATAGTGCTTTTAAAAAATGAAATGAAATTAACAAATGAAATTAACAAATGAAAAAATGCAGCAAAAATTAGTGATATTAAGAAAACTGATCCTACTCTCTATAAAGCCTCTCTACTAGTAAATTCTTTTAAAGCTTAACTCTTCCCTCTAAGAAAACACTTAAATGGTTGTTTTGTAAGTATGTCATAATGTCTCAGACACCAGTATCTGTGATCATGTCCTAAAGCAACAGCAAGTACTTTAAACTGGCCAGTTACTTCTCTGCTTTTCAACTGTCCAAAATTAACTAGTGTTGCCTTACTCCAGTGCTTTTCAGCCTTTAAAATACATGGAAAGTATAGCAAGCTTAGAATTTTTTCCTAGAAGTCAACAAACTTTTAGATTTGTAGCACTATAAAGGTGATATTAAAAACTATAAGGAAAGAAGTAACTTGTTCACAAAACTGCTCTAACGGCCTGAACAGGGGTTTTCATAGGAGTTCTACAGAGCACTAAGGTTTAACAGCCTGGGGGCCTCAGGCAATCTCTTTCTAATCAGAGCGGCCCTACTTCTACTGATTTCTATAATGGAGTTCCAAAGTGATAGGGGAGCAGTGTATTCATCTCAAATTTCATTTTGCATGCTGTGCTTGGTCTTACACAACTTTTCTTTAACCACCCATTTAACAGTGAAATCATTCCATTTTGTATTGCCAAAAAAAAAAAAAAAAAAAGAACTAAATTATTATAAATAGCCTGGGTTGTATAAAATGCATTTTTCACGTGGAAAGCTGGATTAGTGACTTCTCACACACCACTTCCAATGCTAAGATTCCAAATGTATTATCACATACCTTGCTTACAGGAATGAGAAGGCAGTGTGATATGGTGGGCACCGTAGTTGACTGAATGTCAAAGGATCTGTGTTTAAAGCTTAGCTCTAGTCCCTCATTGGCTATGAGATATTTTGGCCAAGATATCCACCCCTTTTTATTGACTTCGTGTGTCTGCCCCATCTAACTCACAAGATTTTAGCAGCAATGAGTGCTGGAAACCAAACGACAGTATTTATTATGAAAAAGTACTTTGAAAACCTCAGTCACATAATTATAAACATTTATCACAGTCATATTGGGTATGTTCTCTCAATTATGCATGCATACCAAAAGTTATATGCTGAAATTACTCTGTCTAGAACTTCTTACCTTAAAACAATTTAAGTTAGTAAAGAAAAGGGAAGCTCTGCTAACCTCACTGCTCTGATTCAACTCAGGCCAAGTCTGGTTTAGTGACGGCATTGATGGAGACTTGCTTGGAGGTGCTTCTGCAGGAGAGCCTGAATAACCTACCTCACCTGGCTGATCCCCAACGTCTGCAATTTAAAAATAGAGAAATTCTCTATAAACAATATATTTTAATTTAAAATATTTACTTATAAAAAAAAGCTAACAGAACATTTTCACAAGTAGTAATTTATAGTCTGACTTTCCTTTTCTTCTGTTCCCCAAATAAACATTTTAACAATCAAACAATCACGCAATACTTATTCCTGTTACTTACTGTCTACTTGAAACCATAGCTTTCCATGAAAATAAAATCCAATTAGGCATAAATAGAAAAAGAGTGTTACACGTAACAATAATGCAATACAGCACATGCTTTGAATCATTTTCTAATAATCTTATACCAGTTCCCAAAGTGTATTTCATGGAATTAATCATTAGGTGCTTTAAAAAATTAGGCTTTCTGTTCAAATAAATGTGGGGATACTCCAATTCCCTTTTGGATCCTCATGCATATCTGTATATCGAAGACTTGTGATGTCCTAGAGCAAATAAACTTTACTTAAATCAGTTTTTCCCCAAACACAAACCTTTTTTATCAATCAAAATCCCTCCATATTCCCTTGGAATATAATTTGGGAACAGCTGATTTATAACTAATTCACTCACATTTTCTCTACAAATCTCCCGTTACCAAAAAGCAGCAGACTATTGGCAAGGCAGACAGCAAAAGGAAAGGAAGAGTCCCAGGCATGGACAAAGAGCAAAGTGAATGAGCCAACTTTTATCATTACAATGTAAAAACAGAAGGAATTTTAATGGTAAGTAAATTCTCAATCCACTCTTCCCAAATTTTACATGGCCTGGAATACAACCCCAGTCTGGAAATCACATAAACTGCCAAACTAATGGGGAATACCTAATCTATTGAAAACCTGTGTCAAAAATATGATTCTTAAATCTGTTACTATCCCACTGTTTGACCATGGGCAAGTTGAATAAAATAGCACCTAAGTTTCTCCATCAGAAAGAAAGACATTTGCCGTTAAATGTTGGCACTGTACTTAAAATTCCTAAATAGATAGCCATATAATAATTTAGCACTGTAAAGGTTTTTACATTTCAAGCCATTCATAAGTAAATTCTTTACATGTCAGTGCTTAACACATACTAGGACCTAATACATACTGTGCACTCAAGTATTTATCTGAGTTCCTTCCAGGTTCTCCTTCATTTTAAATTCATTCTCCTTTACTGCTACTTTCCTAAAACAAAAATTACTTATTGGTATTTTGAAAAAGTTCTCAAAATTTCTCTTTGCCCTATTTGTGTTAACATGTCTATCTCAAAATACTTCCCCCATCTACTTATCCTGACATAACTTCTTCATAGTCCTATCACACTGTGAGTTCTAATTTACAGTCCAGCATCGTATCTTGATAAATTTTTGTTTTCTAAGATCAAGAACAGTTGCTCTTTTTTCCTTAATCCAACCCCTTTCTCAATAAATGCGTCAGAGTGGTATAGAACCGATGCTTCCGATAATAGTCAATTAAGACTCTTAGAGAAAGACTAATGAAAAAATTATTTACAATAAATAGCAGCAGTAAATCCCTCATGGGGGTAGCTTGTGGTTTTCACTGTGAATGAAAATTATGGATTTTTTTTCTATGATAACCAAGAGAAAGGAAGTTAAGAAAAGGAAGATAATGGCTATAAATTTGACGATGTTTACTGAAAGTGAACTGAAGGTGGTGAATGAAGAAATGTCTGTAAGAGATTACCCAAAGCAGGTATTCATATGAAGAAAAATAGAATTAAAATAGTATTAACTACATAAAAAAACTAATTTTCAAAAGAACCTAATTAAAGTCAGACTATTGATTAAGATTCAAATGTCACCTTAGGGCAAACTGGGGCCCTGGTTTGGCTTTCCAGACCTTTCTCCTGTCAGTCTTCCACTTTTAAATCTAGGATCAGAAAGTACCCCACCCACCTCAGGGCAGTTACAATTTGGGGTAGATTGTGGGAACCTCTAATTCACTGGTACAAAGTTGCAGTGGGTCCAGCTTCTTGAAGCTGAGAAGTAAACCACGATTCACCCAAATAATTACACTTCATCATTAGCTAAGAGTTATTTTCCTAGAGTAGCAGTTCTCAAACTGTGGTCCATGGATTCCTGGGGTCCCGAAGACTCTTTTAGGGGGGTCTGAAAAGTCAAAGTGGCTTCTGTAATGATAATAATGCTTTTTTTCTGTGTTGGCACCTACAAGGATGCAAAAGCAGTGGTGGGTAAAACTTCTGGCTTATCAGCAAGAATCAAGGCAGTGGCGCCAAAATATATTAGTTGCTATGTTCTTCACCCCCACACATTCCAGTTAAAATAAAAAACATGCATGGCAACTTCACTGAAGAATGCTCACAATTATCACAGTAAAAATTATTTTTATTAAACCTCAACTCTGAAAACACATCCTCTTAATACTCTGTATGGCAAAAAGGGGAAATATATATAAAGCACTGCTTCACAGCAAGGATCATGGTTGTCTCAAGGAAAGATACTTGTGTGATTCAACTGTCAGCTGAACAGGCCACTTTTTTCATGGAACACCCATTTTTCTTGAAAGAACAGCTGATAAACTATAATTATTCAGACTTGGGTATTAGGCAGGCATTTTCTCAAAAATGAATTTAGTGAGCCTGTTATTTCAAGGAAACCAAATGTCTTCAGTACTTGTTATAAATGACAAAGTTTGAGCTTTCAGCGAAAATAGGAATTTTGGAAAATGTGTAGGCATGTCCATACTCTCAAGAACTTCCCAATACTTCTTTGAGAAGATAGGTTATATTAACAAAAATGTTTTTGATATTTTATAATAAAATGTCCCAATGTTTCAAAGATTTATATAATTCAATGAACTGATATTTTACAAGCAATCAATGCACTATGTTACAAAATCATGCATGGGGTAAAAGATTCATTCAAAGTATATTCAAAGTGCAAGACAGACCTATGGATTTTAATGTAACAGTACAAACAATTCATTAATATGCTTTCAGCTTTCACAACGCAATCAACGTTTAAGAAATTACCATCTGTTGAGTTTGGGGGTAATACCAAAGAATATCTGTAATTATCTGAAAAGAGTCCTCCCTTTTACCATTGAGGCCACATTTCCTTCATGTACTAGAGACTGGCAACCTTTTTCTACAAAGGGCCAGATAGTACATGTTTGAGGCTTTGCAGGCTGCCTATATGGTCTCTGCTGCGACTATTCAACTGTCGCAGTGCAAAAGCAGCCATCAATAATTCGGGAAGGAATGAGCTTGGTTTGTGTTCCATTTAGGGAACACAATTTCATTTATGGAAATTAAATTTGCATTTCATAGAATTCTCATGTGTCATGAAATACTGTTTTTTCCCCCCATTGATTAAAAACAACACAACTACCACCACTCCATCTGTGGGCCGTACTAAGGGGACTGGATTTGGTCCTCAGCACTTAGTTTGCCAAATCCTGATACACTTCAAACAAAATAACCCATCTAACAGACTGAATGCAGGACTAAACATGAGAATCTAGCTGTCTTCTATTAACCGAGATACTAAAAGATTTGCAAACATGTAAAACAATGTCACCCTTTTTATAATGATTATTTTTTAATTTTGGAGAATAGTTATTTTCTTAAAATTATCTGTTAATATGTAAAAAGTTTACTATTATTATTTTAAAATAAAGCATAAAATTTATCAGTTTTAATTTCTAATAGGGTAACTATTTTTTTAAATAGGGTAACTATTGATAGATCTAATCCACGTAAACAGAGGCTCTTTGTGGTCCACAATAATTTTTAAGAATGTAAAGGGGTCCTAAGACTAAAAGTTTGAAAAATAACTGTCCTAGGAGATCCAAAAATTATTTCTGGAATAAATTCACAAAATTACACATTGCTTCTTTCCTGCTTCACATATAGAACAACAAATGGTAGTAGAAAAAGAGCCTATGTTCTAGAAAGGTAATGTCCTAATAGTCATGAGTCCGAGGAGAAGAATCAGGTGTGTAAATAAACTGCACCTCCTTCAACCTGGCTCCCTATAAACTCCAACAAAGAGCTTCATGCCCACCCACAGCAGTTAGTCTTTGAAACTGTATCCTTATGGAGGCAGGGGTGTAGTTTTACTCTTACCTTATTCAGTGTTCCAACCTAGCCTCCTGCTGGAACACTGTGTCAACCCTGCCTCCCTCCTGACGGTTCTGCTCTGCCCCTGACATCATCAGAGCATCAGGGCTGAAAAAGAAGAGCATGAGCCTAAATTATTTGTTAATGTAAACCCTGAAAGGGCTTTTATGCAAAAAGTATCTCCATGAATAAAAGTGTGTCTGGAAGACACAACCCAGTGTGATCACAATGACATACTATCAATCTACATTTAAAGTTAGAAATGGTAATATTAAAGGAGTGCACAATGCATTTTCAGGATCACACTATAAAATAAAAACACTGTCAGTAGTTTTCATCCTTCTAGCCTCCAAAGATTCTGAAAAGTTGCCAGATTCAGTTTAGTATAGTGTACCTGCTGAACAACCTTTTTCTTAAAGAGCATCAGTTTTATTCTAGGTTTATTTTTTCAGTATTATACTCAACATGCTAGCATTGTTTCAAAAATGACTGCCAGCTATTACTAATCTTATAGAAATATATACACTCCCTAAAGTCTTACAGTTTAAAACTTATTTTGCTTTCAAGTAGCAAAATACATCTAGGAAGAATTCTTCAATCATGAAGCCTCAACCAAAGTTGCTAACTCATTTAATAGCTTTATAAAAAGCAAAAGCAACTACGTGTTTTATTTGAAATGTGAATACTATGCTTACCCAAAAAGTTCTTAAAATAAAAAATAAACAGATGTGGATAAATTTTAAGTCTTCAAGGAAAACTACTAACGGTACCTTTTTCATTTATACTTAAAAGATAGGGATAAGCAGGGGTGCCTGGGTGACTCAGTCAGTTAAGCATCTGCCTTCATTTCAGGGGCTCAGGTCATGATCTCGGGGTCCTGAGATCGAGCCCTTGGGTCAGGCTCCCTGCTCAGTGGGGAGTCAAGCACTACCTCTCCCTCTCCCTTTCTCCACCCTCATGCTTGCTCTCTCTCTCTCAGGCACTCATTCTGTCTCTCTCTCTCAAATAAATAAATCTTAAAAAAAAAAAAAAGATTGGGATAAGCAATGAAAATCCAAAAAGAAATTAAAGAATTTAAGATATGCTTTGTTTTGAATGGTATCACATCCATCAAAAACTACATTCTATATGCAAAATTAATTTTAATTTTCAACACTCCACAAAACGGAAACTTATTGAGTAAGCAGAACTTTATACAGTCTACGCAGAAGTTTCTCAATTTTATTTCAAGGATTTTTTTTAAAAAAGTGAAGGTAAATATATGTAACAAGGTTTGAAAGAAAACATTCACCCAAGATCCTAATTAAATTGTAGCCTGTTAACTTTTTTTTTTTTGCAGTATTGGTCAGCATTTTATGGGAACTATTATTTGACTCAGCTACTATACTAAAGATTATTATCTACAGATAGAGTCTCATTACCCAAGTACAGCTTAAAATGGAAAAAGCCCACTTAACGTTAATCCACTTAAGATAATTAGAATTTCATAATGAAAAATAACTTAATTAAGGCTTTGTTTTTAAAACTTTACACAGAAAATTGTAAAACTGAGTATAAAGACCAAAGAATAAAAGACGTTACAATTTTGGGGTATAATTTAGTGGCAAAATTAATAAAAATAAGAATTCAATCAGTGAGCATTTAACAGAGGGCCTGTACCTAAACACAGTAAATAAAGATACAATATTGAGAAAGATGACAAAGCTCCCATTTATTTCCATGGAGTTCTCTTTCTAACAGAGGAAGACAGATGTCCTTCACTTCACTTTTGAGTTTTGCAGCACATTGTAAAGAAAAAATACAAAATTTGTCCTTTTTACAAAAAATAATTAAAAGCATCAGTAGTTATTCCCAAGGACTATTATGAATCCCCTGATATGTAAACCATAGTCTTTTAAAGCCCCTATTGGGTCATCCTTGTAGAAATTTTCTCCTTCAAATACTACCTAGTCTTGTTAATATCTTTGCCAGGAATTTGAGGAGTTCTAATTATTTTGACCAATTCATTAAATGGTGCATTTTTGCCAATATTTATAATTGTCCTGATTTTTCAGCTACAACACCCAACTATCTGGAAAGAAATGAAACCAGTGTTAAGAATGTTTGTGTGTGTGTGTGTGTGTGTGTGGTTCCTTAAGTGTAAAGTTGATGATGAATATTAGCAGTGCATATTTTCATTATTTTTCCTCTCAACTAAAGGCACTTGGAAGAGTGAATTTTCAAAAATAAAGACTTAGAATTCTTTATATAAAATAAAGATATATGTATTTTTTTTCTTACAGTGCTGTTTTAAAGTTAAAGTTAAGAAACTACCCAAAAATCCATCAAGACACTGCTTAAATTAAGGCGCATCTATATTATGGGATACACTGTATGATAAAGAACGTGACAGTCCTATAGGTGACAAAGTATAAAGATGTTCAACACTATAAAAAAATTAAGGCTATATAGTGTGATTGTACTTCGTGAAAACAGTTATCTGCATGTATTATTTGTGTTGGCTTTTTTATGTTAAAAGTTTCTGGATGAACAGAAAACTCAACAGTGATTTAGCATCAAGCTAGTCTCAAATATGGATTTTTTGTAAACTACTCATAAAAAGTCTATGGCTTTTAAAAATAGTTCTATTAGAAGTACTGCTAGGAGTTTGGGGATCCATGCCATGTACCATATCAGCAACAATGACACATGCTCAAATTTACTATGTGAAGAACTGATGACGGAGGACTAGGGAACAATTCCTCTCTGGCTCTGAGCATCTCAAGCAGATATTACTGAACTGCCATGGGTAGTGTGTTATGAAGACAGGAAACAGTTTTAAAAACAAGTGGCTCAGCCATTTAGTCATTTCAAAAATGCGAACGCCTACTTATATACTCAGCTTGCACCCTGCTAGGTGCTGAGATATAATAAACAAGACTGATTTGGTTACTACTCGCCTTGGATCCTCCAGGCTAGTTTAAAGAGAGACTTACCAAATAATCACAAAAGCTGTATGTCAAATAGCAACTGTGCTCCCAAGAAGAATCTCTGGGGATTGAGTTGAAGGTATACAGCATTGCAGTGTGTTTGGTTTTGTCCTTTTAAGATACAGTGTTGTGGAAGGTTAGCAGGTCACTTTAATCTTTTTTTTTTTAAGTAGATAACCATTCTTAGAAGATGAACATTCTTCCCTGAGTAACAGCTTCAGAAAGGTGTTTCCATAGATGAATTTTTGGATGCTTTTTTGGTAAGACAATAAAAACAAAAGTTTCCCTCTGTATTTACTCTAGCGGCCAAATTCAGTGCTGATGTTAAATAATAAGTATTTTAATTCAGGCCCAAATAAGCACTCTACCTATGATCACTAGTTATTCTGTTTTATCTGCTATTTAATCCCGTAAACCTGGTCAAATGATTTTGGAAAAATTACCATATGTCCCCAAAGCCATGTTTGCATGCCTACAGAAAGCTTAGCTTGGTTGCTCCAAGTGGCTGGAACTCAAGTCACCACTGTTCATTATTTATTTTTTGATAAGTTATTTAAATTGCAAATACAGAATACCTGTAGAGCTAATATTTTAGTATGTTCCAACATCACAAACTTAGAGTAACAGCTATATTTCAAAGACAGAAATGTGTTAAAAAATATTGTACTTTAAAAGTGGCACACACTTAGCATTAATTCACTCAGTATTTATTTCCTGACCAACTTAGTACATGCCTGGCAAAGTGCTATGTCCTTAGGATACTACCATGAGTATGATGCATTTCCTTTTTTTTTTTTTAAAGAGCTCAGTGAGGCAGTAGAATGAGGAAAAAGAAGAACAGGATTCGGTATGATGTGTGTGCCATAATAAGCAGCATGTAGGAGATGTTACAAGAGATCAGAGAAAACAGAAACTAACCTTTGCCTGTCAGTCCGAAAGCCTCCAAAGAGAGGCTTTGAGAATATGATATATTCTCAGATCAGCCAAAAGAAACTGTTTGGGTATTTCCCTTTTAATGTCTAAAACTTCTAAAGTGAACTTCTAAAAACATACCTATTTTAAATTATTTTTGTGGATACTGATGGATCCACAGTGTCACACAACAATTTCTATATTCAAAGGACGTTGTGTACTATGAATCTCAGGCTTATTAGATGTAGGTGAAAAAAGATTAATCAGTTTTTCCCACCCCAAAATTAACAGAATTCCAAATTTATCATTTATAAGTAGGCAAAGCAGATCTGAATTTAATATTGTGTAGCCAAACGTTTATAATAAATTTGATCAGAAAACCATATAATATTATGTTGGAATGGGAAAAAACTATTTGATTCTTTGAAACCTATAATTAGAGCAATAGTGTACAGATAAATGCAGGCAAAAAACCAGTGTCTCTTTGCTAAACAGATTTAACAGGTATAAAAAAACAAATGCCCAAAAAAGAAATTCCTCAGTCATGAGCCTTAAAATTCAGGCAGTAGATCAAGTTTAGGAAGAACCAGAATTTATTTAAATTAAAAACAAAAAACAGGGCACCTGGGTGGCTCAGATGGTTAAGCGTCTGCCTTTGGCTCAGGTCATGATCCCAGGATCCTGGGATCGAGTCCCACATCGGGCTCCCTGCTCCTTGGGAGCCTGCTTCTCCTTCTGCCTCTCTCTCTCTGTCTCTCATGAATAAATAAATAAAACCTTTAAAAAAAAAAAAGATCCAGTTTAAAAAAAAAACAATGGGGTGCCTAGGTGGCTTAGCCAGTTAAAGTGTCTGCCTTTGGCTCAGGTCATGATCTTAGGGTCCTGGGATAGAAACCAGGAGCCCAGGCAGCTGGCTCCCTGTTCATCCGGAAGTCTGCTTCTCCCTCTCCCTTTTCCCCTCTCCCCCCACTCATGAGCTCTCTCTCTCAAATAAATAAAATCTTTAAAAACAAAACAAAACAAAAAAGCAAAAAAGAAATTCCACTGACTACATGCAATAGCCAGATTTACCAATCTGAATGCAACAGATAACAGGTTCAGACAAGTCTCTAGAGAATAACATAACAGAAAACTTGACTTATTTTCTTGTATTAGTATGCTATCAGTTTTCAAAGTATTAAAGTCACACAAAAATTCCAGATACAAGGCCCAATTTTTAAAACGAAATACCAAATATGTAGCTACTAAATTTCTTCTGCTTTGGCTACTACCAAATAAGCTAGACAAAATTCTTTTCATTTATTTCTTAATTAGGTAAATTAAATTACTGTGAAGCAAAATTACCAACAAAAATACTTAGCTTTCAGCTCAAGTTAGAGGTTACCTAATAACTACCTGAAATGATCAGAAAAAACCTAGGATTCTCATAGGATAATGTTCTAAAAAACATTAAATCAATGCTAAAGTTTTTAATGAACTTATTCATTGATAAAAAGTCAGTGTACAATTCAGGTCCTGAATGGCATCAAATCCACATTTCAGGTGGAGAAACAGAAGGAAAAAAATAGAATAAATGGTCAGAACTTGCCCAAGGTCACAGGAATAATTAGCAAAACTAGAAGCCGACTCAGATTCCTAACACCAAGGATACTGTTCTTTTCATGACATTAATAACATGCATGTGATTCCTTCTGTATAATTTAGGCAATAAGGTCAGATCATGTGCCTTTCTGGGTTAAAGAGACACTGCCTAATAGATAAATGCCCTTTTGAGAACCAAATTCTGTTTTAACTTTTCCTTTAAAAGTATAAAATTCCTTCCATCATAACATCCAAAAGAAAACTGAGATAAGAAAACTGAAAACAATAATTTTTAATTATGCTCATTAAGAATTTAATGTTAAGATTTCCTTTTATTCATTCTGAATTTTACTCATTTCTTTACCTCTTATATTCTTATTTCCTTTTAAAGAAAGCTACCAGAAATATGGGCATTACAAAAGCATTCTTGTAAACATGGTAACAAAAATAGCACTACCTATAATCAAACATAAAATTTCCAGATTTCTTTACAGTCAGAAGAAAAGAGTTGGGCTTTTGAAAGGAAAATGCCTGCAGATTGCATTGGTCTTACGATAAACCGGGCATCGTCCTTCAACGAATTAAGATGTATTCAATGGAAAAATGTTGATAATGCAGACAGGCTACCTTGCCTGCCCCAGACAATATATAATGCAACTTAAGGGGTGGCAAATAACCAGATACTGAAATGCCGGTCAAAAGTTAAAGTGAAATAGTGGCATATATTATTTATCTCTTTAAAAATAGGGATGTCTAGGTGGCTCAGTCGGTTAAGCATCTGCCTTCCGCTCAGGTCATGATCCCAGGTTCCAGGATCGAGTACCGCATTGGGAGCCTGTTTCTCCCTCTGCCTCCCGCTCCCCCTTCTTGTGCTCTGTCTCTCTTACAATCTTTAAAAAAGAAAATAAAACCTATTAAAATTGACTAAATAAAACAAACCATTAATCCAAGGTGAGCCTCTACAGCATACTCTGAAGGCAAATCTACTTGCTCTTGATGAAATGTCGATGTTCTTAAGTTTTAACAACTATCTTGATTTTGCTTTAAGAATCGTGTTGAGGCGCCTGGATGGCTCAGTTGGTTGAGCATCCGACTCCTGGTTTTGGTTCAGGTCATCATCTTGGGGTCGTGGGACTGGCCCTGCAATGGGCTTTGCAGTCAGCACAGAATCTGCTTGAGATTATCTCCCTCAACCTCTACACTTGCACTCTCTCTCTCTCAACTAAATAAAATCTTAAAAAAAAAAAAAGAATCAAGTGGTGTGTTTATCAAGGCCTGCAACCAGGTCCCTTCAGCTCCCGATCTTACCTGCTGAGTCCTCCAAATCAATCAGTTTGGGCATTAGGCTTTCAGGGAGTTTTTCTGGTAAGTCATAGCCATTCTTCCTAGCAACTACCAGATGAAAAGCAGCACAAAACTCATCCAGTGTCAATGCTCCATCTTTATCAAAGTCTGAAAGTTCCCTAGAAGACAAACTTACTATAAATATAATCACCTGCTTTGGATCCCTTTATGTCTCAAAAAAGAAGCAAAAGAAACCCTTTTCCAGAAAAAGTGCAATCATTAATTTTAAAAAATCCCATAGATGGGAAGAGGTGTAATAAAGCAAATACAGCACACTGTTCAGCTGCAGAATCTAGGCAGTGGTCATATGGGTGTTCAAGGCACAATTCCCTCAACTTTTCTGAATGCTTGAAATTCTTATAATAAAATGCTAAAAAACAGCCTAAATAAATAAGATCACCAAAAAATGACCCTTAATCCATATGCATTTTTAAGTAACAGGATTTAGTTTAAAGGCAGGCTTATTTAATAAGTCACTGAAATTTTAAAAACCTTTGTTTTTGCTGTTATCAAAGGTCTACACGTATCCACTTTAAAGCACCCAACAGAATTACAAGGCTTGATATTAAAAAAACAAAACAAAACAAAACAGCCCCCCATTCCTGCACTTTCTAGATGCAGAAGCAACCACTCTTGTATTTAACGCCTTCCACTATAAATAGCATGTATATATTGCTAGTTCTTCATTTTTCAGTTTAGGCATTATCTATCTTCCTTCTACCATAGCACTCTATGCTACTAAAAATCCTACTAATGAAATAATTTAAAGTAGAAATAACATCTATGTTTATCTGATAATTGTTTTTAAAAAGTAATTTGTGATTGTAATTTGTTTTGACTGACTAATTCCAACTACGTAGCAGCTATCCCGAGTCTTAGTTTGGATTTAAGTGGGAGATAAGCACTGTTCTTAAGCTCATGGCTTAGTACAGGTATAGGTAGAGCGAATGGTGTAGGTAATACATAATAGATATAAGCTTGTTAAAAACCAAATGGGTTACATATAACCATGGATGAACCAACTAGCTTTTATTCCATGCATTATGCTACCAACGAGAAATAGCGGCTACAGCTGAAAGAATTTTAGCACTTTTTGAAGAACTACTGTACTGGCATCACTTATTTCTTTTCCAGAGAGTGAGACAGAAGCTGACCATTTTAAGGCAATACTGAGTTCTTTGAGAACATTCTTGAAAAGGTTACTCTAATAGTTTATTTTTTAAGATTCAAAAATCTACCTGCTGGAAACTCCTTTGAAACAACCCATATTACCCAACTGAAGTGATACACCACACTTACCAAATGTGAGAAAGTTCAAGAATAGGAAGTTTTGATTTTGTAAAAAACTCTTTAGCTGCAGATCCTGAAATATTAAAACAGTGTTGTTTAATGTTATTCTGAACTTACAGACCCAAGAATAAAATGTGACGTTAAGAGTCTTAAGGCTTTTTTCATTGGAAACAAGGTAACCTTAATATGTGTATGTCATGTTTTTTTCTCCAGTGATTATAAACTCTTTTTAGACAAACAATTTGAGAATTATCTTTTATAATCTCTGACCAATAAAACCATGTCTTTGAAATTATGAAACTGAGACTTTGTCCTGTCCCATCCAGAAGAATTTCTGTTTTTAACAACTCACCTGGAATAAATCCGTTTAGATCAGGCTGAATGGTTTTAAACTGATTTACATAATACTGTCTTTGTTCATCTGTTATTTTCCAGGGATCATCATAACTACTGGATTGCCTACGAATTTCATTGGCAGTTGTAGCTGATGCTACAGTTCGTACTGTTGTCTGGTCCTGTAATGAAACATTTTTTTCCTCAGTACAGTATCTATCTATATGATTATACGGACAAAGATTGCTAGGTTATTTATCTTTGAAATTAAAACTTACTTTTTGTGGATGTTTAAAATATAAGAAGTCTTCACAAAGTCATCAGCAAACCACATATTTGTTATAATCAGATTACTGAATGTTTCTGCACAATGGTTATATTAAGTGTGTAGAATGATAGCAATATGTAAGCAACAGAAAGTTACGAAAAATGTGCTAAGAAAGCCAGGCAAATATATTCCTAGGGGCAGAAAACTTTCAAAACTTCGTTGAACAATTAGAAAGAAAATCAGCCAAAACTTTTAGTGAAACATTCCAATGATAACAGACTTTAAGACACCGAGCAGAATTCCGTGTTCTATAAAGAGTGAACTTGCATTTACAAAATTCACAATAGCAAAAAAAAAAAAAAAAAGTGACTGCAGCAATACTCTGAATGAAGCAAATAAAAATGCAATACCAATAAAATGTCACACCTGGACAGAAGCAGGATGCATGGTTAAAAGAGTACTGGTTGGTGGAGTATCTGCAAAACTGACCCAGGTTTCTTGCGGTGGAGGTGGAGAATGCCCTGACCACACGGCGTCACCAGCAGAAGAACCTAAAAGGAGAATGGGTACACGTGTTGGCTCACTTCCGGAGAAAAAACAGTTACCAGGTTTTTACTATAACTCTCCATACACATATTATAAATGTTTTCTTTAAACTCTAACTTCGACTTCAAAGAAATGTTAACGATTTCCCAGGTGAATCTCTTTGGTCAGCTTAAAATTATACCTCATTTAAACCTTTTAAATTGTTATTGTGCTTTCCTTGTCAATAACTGGAACTAACACAATATATACCTTATATTCTGGGAAATCATCATTTATTTGTTTCCCCTTCAGAGAATCTGGTATCTATAAACTTTTGTCTAAGCCTCATATGTATATGTAAATGCAATTACCATTGTTCAAAGTGATGTATCTGTTTACAAACGTTCATAGTTGGCTTTTGCTTCTAATTAAGATACTTAATTTATAATTAAAAATTGCCTTGGAGGCAACTCTTAAAGGAATATTACCAAGTTTCCTTCAATTTACCACCCTTAATATATAACCGTCACTTCTAAAGAATTTCCAAATACCTGATTGTGCTTCACCAAAGGGAGACCAAAATGGCCCAGGTCCTGTAAGAGGCCTCTCGCTATTTCCCCCACTGGGGTGACGGCTGTGCTTCCTCCATGTGTGTGGAGAAGTTGGTGGGGACTGCTGGGGTGAAACTACGGGGGATGCAGGTTCCTAGAAAGAGTATTATTAAGACTTAAATTTTTTTAAGGTAACATGTTCATTAATAAAGCTCTCAATAAATGCTTTAGTGTAAACATCTACACAGGCCATCAACTGATAACAAGTTCAGGCACAGGATTACCTGCTGATCTGCAGATGTACGAGGCTGGACAGTATCATGGCTTACAGATCCTTTTTTCACTTGTCCCCTGCCAGGTGGTGGAGGAATTACACCAGAATAAGACCCTTGATTTTCAGAATCTGAAGAATATGAGGCTGCATGGCGAGATTCCTGTTCATTCTTTGAAGCAACAAATCTTGGCAGGGGAAGGTCCTTTACTGTTAACCACAGAAATAATTATTACTTTAAAATGAAAAAGAGCACTCATTAAAACTGCAATATGGATTAGATATCAGAAGGAATTTTTACAAAAATGAATACAGACACAGCAGACACCTATGTTTATCACTATATTTAGACCTCCCTTAGACTGTTTAGGGAGACTCTAACCTAGAAAGTAGTAGTAACACTAAACTGTCCTTCTAAAGGCACTAACAATAGCTATAATAAATGTCCTGTCTGACTCTATGCTTGCAACCGAGGCAACAAGATGCCAAGGTCACTGACAGTAACTGACGGTCTGAACTCAGGGCAGTGTGACCTGAAAGCCTAGGCTATTTCTTTTCTACTCATACTGATTCTCTTAAGATGTTAGAGCTGTAAGTAAAGCAGAGAATATGTCACTAGATTGAGACTAGATTAATCTAGACATTTCATGGCACAAAGTCCTGAAAATATTTTACTGTCCCCCTACCAACATCACAGTACAAGGCATGATAGCTATCCACTTTAGTCTGGCTTGTGACATTTCTACAGGCAGATATCCTACATTCAAATAAACAGAGAAGAAAGAAGACCGAGAACTTCTTTGCAGGTCAGTCATAGCTCATACTTTTAGACTAGGCAACACACACAGGAGCAGAATTTTTAATAGAAAGTACACTTCCCTCCACTATGACTATCTGCATCTCTCTTGAATCTCCATACTAAGGAGGGGAACTACTAAGCTTATTCAGTATTTATATAAAAGAATTCAAAATTACCTGAAAAGAATGTAAACTCTCAGTTCTAGAAGAATGATGTGTGGCAAAACAGAGGTCCACAATGAAAACCTCACACTGACTAATAAACTGAACTTGGTGCTTAAAACTATAAAAATTCTAACATTACAGAAAACCTCAAGTTTTCTCTTTCCTCTTTTCCCTATGACAACCACAGAACTCTCTGCATTTAAGTGCCTACCTTTATAGAATTTCCACTGACTTCAGCATCAATAAGCCTCCCAATCACAGAAAAACTAATTATCCTAGGTGACACTTACAAGGTACTCAGCTGTCTGTACATAGGTTTTAGTCTGCCAATATTTTAACATTGTCTAATTTCAAATGCACAGCCTTCCCAAACAAAAAAAACCACGAAGTATTATGTAGTTTTATACTTATTAGAAAAGAAGAATATAAGGAAGGCATATAAGAAGGTGGTCAGTCACTATAATTCATCATTTACTTTGATAAAATTATGCCCCTAAACTCTTCCTAAGCAACTATTAGTGAATTAATTCTGAAAAATCACCACTTTTAACAATTTTTATATTATCATCAAATACGTATTAAGTACACACATACCAGAACAGGTTTAAGAAAGAGATTTTTCTAATATTCACAAATGAAAAAAGCATAGTAAGAATAAAGCCATGACACTTACGGTCACAAATGCCACTAAAATATCAGAAGACTCAACAATTCTACTAACTTTATTTCATTTGTGATCAGAAGTCTATTTTCATTTCAGCTACTAATATATTCCATATTTACCTGTATTTATACTTTCCACTCTTAAAGGGAAACCAGACTGGGCAACAGCTATAAGTTTCAAAGCGATATAGAACTGACTTCTTCCAAAATAACCAAGCCTTGTTGCACCACAAAGCTCCATAATCTATAAAAGAAAGAAAAGTTTCATGACAATAATTCTCCAAATAAGCAGGTATTTAACTTCTGTTTATAACTTCTCCAAAATACATGGCTGACACATGGTGTATTACTCTCAACTGACAACCAACTTCCTCAGGTTTCAGGTTTGTAAGTGAAAATAAAAAGGCACTGACCTTAAATTAAGAAGGTCATGGTTCTCCTACTTAGTAAAATCCATGTGATAAAGCAATTTTATTTTATTAGAATAACTATTTTTTCTTGAGTCCTATTTTTCAGAAACAAGGTACCATCCACTTTTCACAACACTGTGCATACAACAGGGTCAAAAGTTCCTGCAACTAATAGATTATTATGCAGCCATTTAAAGTACTAGTCATAAAATGACATATTACGTGGAAGAAAGCAGGATACGTAATTTTAACCACATAAACACAAATTTGAAAAAAATCAGATATATACAAATCTATCAGCAATTTTGTTAGAGGAGATTAAGAATAGGGCTTTTCCTCTTATTTCCCAGATTGTAATTAATGTGGCTATACTACTTTTCCTTAAAACAATTTTTGTTTGCTTTGTGCTTTTGAAGCATGAAGGTCTTCAAGGAGCTGCATCGATCATTCCAGTCATTTGACAAGTATTTCTAAACTGGCTACAACAAGTACGTATCAGACTAGAAAAGAGAATTTTTGGTTATGAGATTAAATTACAACTCCAAAAGCTGGAGTAATGTCTACTGTACACACATTATAATCTTAAAATAAAATAAACACCAAGTATCCTTGTCTCACCTTCTCAAAAGATACAAATTCCTGTGAAAAGGGAGCATATTTGTCTATTTTCTTTTTCTTGAAACACTCAAAGATTAGGGTATGCCTAGATGTTATGGTAATAAGTCAGAAGTATTTACTAGAATTGCAAAAAAGCACCCACCACCAGTTAAGCAATGTATCACAGTCACAATAACCATTCGTTTACTCGCACAAGACGACAGTCATTTTTTGTGATTGATCAGCAATGGAGGAAGTTCCTGATTCTGCCACTAAGGGGCACCACTTCAGTGTAAATTTAAAAGGGCAAGGAGGATAAAGAGGCCAGATTCACATTACGGAACTAGGAGGAAAATGAGGGCAAGAGTTAAGAAGGCCATATAGCCTTGAAAGATACGCAGGCATTTTGTTATGATTACTGCCCCTTTCCAGGATTCTTTTCTGCCCACTTGGCACCCTGTAAAGGATCACTACATATCTTAGATACTTTTGCTTATAAAACAAACCTATATGCCCTGTATCTATGTTTGATAAAGGGAAGACCTCAAAAGAAACCACAGGTAGTTGGTTTATCCTTGTTATATGTCCAGCTATCAGTCAGGAGGAGATGCCCAGGGACCAGGAAGAAATGCAGGGGGGTGTTCAGAAGAAGGGGGCACGCTGGGGAACAGACAATAGGTGATAACTAAAGCTGAGGGAGTAAATGAGATGCCTACAAGCCCAGAGCAGGGAAAGGGAACTGCGGAAAACACCAAAACCTAAGGGAAGGTGTAAAAAGGAGCCTATGAAAGAAGCAGTGGGAAAAAGTACCAGCAGAAGGAGGAAATCAAGGATGGAAAGAGGTTCTGGAAGGTGGGGGAGCAAGCCTTGAAGAAAATCATTATTGCACATACAAATTCATGTACAAAGGTGTTCACGGTAAGAAGCAACCTAAAGTTAACACAAGAACAAACAGATACAGTTGATTATGAAATAACTATATAATGAGAAAACCGTACATTTAAAACTCACTGCTTACAATATTAAAGTTATGAAAATAAAAAGCAAGATACAAAGCAGTATAATCCCAATTTTATTAAGATATGTACATATAAATAGTAATGAATATGCCAGTGATTATTTCTGGGTACTAAGATTAAGGGATGTTTCTAGGTTTTCTTTACATGAGTCTATATTTACTACCAAAAATATTTTATATTAGTCAGAAAACTGATAAGTAATTTCCAAACAAAAGAATTAGTGGGGCCAAATCAAAAAGGAAAGAAAAGACACTCTTGTATTTTGCAAGTAGGAGGTTTTTGCTGCTTGAGCACTGGTAGAGATGCAGCAGGGTAAAATCTCATTTGCAATGGATTAAGGAAGAAACATGAGGAATATAAGTGGAAAGACAAGTTAGAATGCTTGGCTCTCAAAGAAAGTTAAGTTTAGAAGGGTAATCTTGTTTCTCCTAAGTCTCAGAGCCAGTCAGTGGAAGAACTGGCTCAAGAAGCCAGCTCCTTTGATTCTAAACCCAAAGCTCTTTCCAAGGGGCTGGGGGGGGTGGGGGGGGGTAGTGTGTGTGGGGGAAGTGGAGGGTAGAAAAGCAAGGAGGGATACTATTTTTCTACTGTTTCAGACATAAAATTTTAAGCTGCCCTGTCGGGAAAGGGAAATGAGATTTTGAAAAGGGAGATAGAAGGGCTCAAAGGCAAAATATTTGCAGTTATTTCTCTATAACTAATCCTGGCTACATCACCTACAAAACTCACTTTGTGGCCCAAGTCAGGCATATGTGTCATTGATGACTATCTTTCCAAGCTACCCCAATTAGAGAGGCCACAAGCCCTTGAAAACAGCAGAGGAGGAAAGGAGCTATAACATACACACTTATAAAAATGATCCCTGATAAAACAGTATCAGGAGGTATGATTTGCCAAATGCCTTTCAAAAAGATTATTGAAATTTATTCTCCCACTGAATGTTTTTTTTTTTTTCATCTTTTCTCCAGTAACCTGAAAAGGCTACTCACACACTTACATGTAGTTTTTTGACTGCCTGTGTTATACAGTTTCATATAGCTATTTCTTACTTTAGCTTTTATAATATTCAAATATGTGATACAGGGGCACCAGTTGGTTAAGTGTCTGCCTTCGGCTCAGGTCATGATCTCAGGGTCCTGGGATCCACCTGCATCAGGCTCCCTGCCAGGTGAGGAGCCTGCTTCTCCCTCTCCCTCTGCCCCTCCCACCTCTGTGCTCTCATTCTCTCTCTCAAATAAATAAAATCTTTTAAAAATAAATAATAAAATAAATAAATAAATATCTGATAGAGTTATTAGCCCAGCCCTGTTTTTCTTCTTGTTTAGAATTTTCTGGACTATTAATCATAATACTTATTCCTCCAAATAATCTTTAGAATCATTTATCAAAATAAATTGAGATTTTAATTGGAATGGCAATTTATTTTTCATCTTTTTCCTAACTTTAACAAGATCACTTCTAGGGGCGACTGGGTGGCTCAGTCGTTAAGCTTCTGCCTTCGGCTCAGGTCATGGTCCCAGGGTCCTGGGATTGAGCCCCGCATTGGGCTCTCTGCTCGGAGGGAAGCCTGCTTCTCCCTCTCCCACTCCCCCTGCTTGTGTTCCCTCTCTCGCTGTGTCTCTGTCAAATAAATAAATAAAATCTTTAAAAAAAAAAAGATCACTTCTAGTGTTTTACCATTAAGCATGATACTGGCTAACACTCTACAACACCCTTGTTAAGAAACTACTCAGTTATGGGGAGTCTGGGTGGCTCAGTCAGTTAAGCATCCAACTCTTGATTTCTGCTCAGGTCATTTCCGCTCAGGTCATGATCTCAGGTCATGAGATGGAGCCTCAGGTGGGTGGGGCTTTGCGCTGGGTGTGGTGCCTACTTAAGATTCTCTCTCCCTCTCCCTCTGCCCCTATCCTCACTAGTGCGAGCCCTCTCTCTCAATAAATGAATGAATGAAATATTTTTAAAAAGGAAGAAAACTATTCAGCTAGTTCCACTGGTCTAAGAGTTTTGTTTGGGGTTTTGTGTTTTCAAAAACCACAAACAGACGTTAATTTTATTGTGTGCACTCTTGGGCAGAAAACTAAAAGATCGTAATTTTTCTCCTTAGTCTATTATTATTCATAATTCTACTAATAGAATTCCTAACATCAAACCATCCTTTGATCCCTAAAATGAATTCCATTTAGTCATAGTGTATACCACTATTTCAAATAATATTTATAAAATTTAACCACAATCTTAAAATGATTGGCCCCAAAAAACACAAAAAAACAAAAACCCCAAAACCCCTATATCTGAAAGGTTTGGAAATGATGCTATGTTGGCTTTGTAAACACAGCTAACAAGTTTTACTTTTTTTCTCTCTGCTCCGAAATACTTTATATTTGGAACTATATGTTCCATCAAGATTTGGAAGAATTCACCTATGACATGGGCTGAGCAATATCTCTGATGTGTGTCTCAGTTTCTTCCAGGTCAGGTGGGATAAACTAGGTTGTCTATCTCTAAAATGTTTGATAATTTCCTAGAAAATCATTTATCACTTCCAAATTTTGAAATTTATTATTAGTTCAGCATTATCCAAAGTAGTCTCACTCTTTTAATTGCCTCTCTATGGTAACTTGCTCTTAGTCTAAATCATGCATATCTTTGAGCACGCTTGCACAGCTGCCTAATGTTGAGAATCGCTGAAAGCCCTTGTTAGGATATGGATTCCCAGACCTCTTCCATTAGACTGTAATTTGCCTAGGAAATCCAGGGTCAGCTAGTGTTGCTGGTATACTACCAACAGCTACCGAAAACCATTAAGCTTTATTTTCATAACATTATAAAATGTACATGTTTATGGTAAAATAAGTAAAATGGTACTTAAGGATATGGAGTTAAAAGTTCGGGCGCCTGGGTGGCTCAGTTGGTTAAGCGACTGCCTTCGGCTCAGGTCATGATCCTGGAGTCCCTGGATCGAGTCCCGCATCGGGCTCCCTGCTCGGCAGGGAGTGTGCTTCTCCCTCTGACCCTCCTCCCTCTCATGTGCTCTCTCTCATTCTCTCTCAAATAAATAAATAAAATCTTTAAAAAAAAAAAGGAAAAGTTCCTACAATCCCCATCAGAATAACAATTCTTTTCATATGTTCTTTCCATCTTTTCCACATGTATTCAAACATATAAGCACACATACCTAACATATACTTTTTACATATATAGGGTCATGCTGTATATGA